TGTTGTAATTCGTCAGGGATGTACGATGATTTACTATATCGATTGTAAACATGATTGGTGAAACAGGTTGAGTATTGAGTTCTTATTTGGGCCTAGACTAGCGCTACAACAACCAAATAAAATTAATGTCAATGAAAAAACTCAGTAAGTTTTGGTTTGGTTCTATGTTATTGAAAAAGATATGACCACTTGTCAGTAAAATAACAATTATTGACAACAGCTCAAAAAGAACGAGCAAAAGCAAGCAGTCATCACAGTGATTTGACATTTCATACTATGTCACTCAATAAGATTGGTTCATAATAAAGCAGTGAAAAAAAATTAATAAAAGATCTGCTTTAGTAAAAAATATCTTTCTCCTCAAATATCCGTGTAAATATATAGATATATCACGCACATCACTAGCAAATCAGCGACTGGCTACCTCAAGTGTGGTACACAAGCTACACTGCTTCGGGACGAGAATGTGGGCCGCTGGCCAGTACAAGCTTAGTAGATTGGCCGAAGTATATGAATGTTTAGGACATACAGGGTGTCTGAAGAAAGAATTTGTGGAGGGGTGATGGAGAAGAGATTGTAGAATACAGGAAAAGTTTGGCACAGAGATGTATGTTTAGCAAAAACTATTACTTACCTACTTATTTATTAGGCAGATATACAATTTGAAACATTACTGTCTTATTAATAAAAATTATTAATTAGCAAAACCCCGCTTTTTCTCTCGCCGAAGAAGCAATTCGAGGCTCATTCAGTTGAATGTAAATCTAGGAAGGCGTACTTATTTGCATTTTATGATAATAAATGTTTGGATATTTTTTTCTGTATTCTATAATAAATTTAAAGTCACCCCCGATGTTTTCTACTTTTACGCCCTGTATATTGCCATAAAAAGGTACTCTCAACAGCGCACATATCATAACAGTAAGGTGATTATTACACTGCGCCGCGCTCCGCCGCGGTCCGCGTGATTTCATATAAAAAATCCCGCGCGCAGACGCGTTGTCGGTGTGTTGTGCCGCGCGTGTTTTCTATACAAACTGAGGTACTTGCATACAATGATTAAATCTGTCGTCCCGCGTACCGCGGCGGAGCGCGGCGCAGTGTGATAATCGCCTAATCACAATAATTTATCTTCGAATAAGAGCGATGTCATTAATATGTTATATTATGTGCCGTTATGTGTACTTTTTTATCGATGTCACCGTAAAATTGTGAATTCCGTCAGATTATAATCTGACATACTATCGGCAACTGTGTTAACTACCCATTGCCGGTTATGTCGTCTTGTTCTATCGCAAAGTATAATCCCATCAAAAACAATACTTGTCAAAAAAACCAAGTCTCGCAACTCAGTTGTTCTACGGTAAAAAGTTGTGAGATCCATGTAATACCAAGTCCAGGCCAGGAAATCTTTAACGTTTTACATAAATATATTGACTTGGCCATCGCATGAAAACACGTGCAAATTAAATTATTTAGTTTTTTTTATTTCGAACGGGATAAAAAGTATCCTATGTCCTTCTCCTGGCTCTAAACTACCTCCCTGACAATTTTCAGCTAAATCGGTTCAGCCGTTCTTGAGTTATAAGTGAAGTAACTAACACGACTTTCTTTTATATATATAGATAATAGATGGCTGCCTAAAAATAACGTAACTGAGTTTAGACTTTCTTTTTGAGAGTCCAAAAATGTTATTTTTCCAATAATCACTAGGAAGTAATTATTTTTAATAAAATTTTCGTTATTGAGAGGTCATTCTTCATGAAACTAAAATAAAAAATGTCATCATGCCTATTAGAAGTTATTACGTTTAGTCCAAATCCAAAAATCCGCCCAAGTTTATACATAGTTTAATAGTGAAGTACCTAAAAATGTAGCCAGTATTTTCTTAAAATATAATGTCCTCCATAATGACATTTTTGGTATTTTTTTGTCGAATGCGTCAAAACAAAGACCAGTTTATTGTTTACGTAATATTGAAGGTGTGACAGTTTTTTCAAAGATCTTTGGACACCATAAATATGACATTGAAAAAAGGACGATTGAGAGAAAATGAATTCCATTAACTCCCTGACTTAGGGTGGATTTTCGGACTAGGGTGGCTAAACGGAATAACTCAAAAAAGCTTGTAAAAATAGATGAGTTTTGAAGTAAAAAAAAACTCAAAATAATGTAAGTTGGAAGCCTATGGTAAATTGCTACCTTTAGTAGTAAACTTATAATACTTGTGTCATAAAAACTGTAGTAAAATTTGTCAAAAAATAGTCCAGATATTGCTAGTGCCTTCGTTTATCTTAAACTACAGCTTACAACTTACAAAATGTAGGGCCGTTTTTCATCAAGTTGGAGGTGAGATGAGATGTGCGGAGACTAGCATGCCGCGGATGGGATATTTTCACTAAAGCGGAGCGGAGATCTGCGCGTTCCCGCTCCGCCGCAAATCTCCGCTCTACTCATTTGTTTCCACTGAGACGTGTAAAAACGGAAATTGATTAATTAGGGAGAAAAATATTTTTATTGGTTTTCAACCTTTTATAGATCGTTTCATCCACTCGGACGCGCCCCACCAATGTTTGGTCTCGGACGCGCGGGGTGCGGGGAGTTCGATCCGAGCAATCCGAGCGTCATTATTGTAGTGTGCGTGTGCACTCATGGATGATTTAGCGTGTACCGATAACACTCAAACATTAGTGGAAGAATGGTGGGGCGCGTCTTCGTGGATGAAACGATCTATGTATATCATATTAAGGCGGGTCCAGACATGATCATTTTACCGATCCGATCACCGTATATCCGTATCGTTGACGCGTATCATGATCGCATATATGGTCCACATAATGGTAAAATAATCATGTCTGGACCCGGCTTTAGAAATTCATGCAGGGTCATTAAACCCTGGATAAGTTAAAACACGTCTCGTCTCCTCTGAATCCGTTTGGTGAAAAACGGGCCTTAAAAACGATAATATTTTGTCAGCAGATGATGTAGAAGTTTTTTTAATGTTAGTGAAAGAGACGGGGATATCTGTCAAAGATGTGGCATGATGTGTCTCTGTCTAATTGGTGGAAACGAAAGAGGATGGAATGATATATTATGTATTTTTTGTTATTCGGTTAAATATGTGTGGCCCAAATATGTAGATGTGTAAGAGAGAAAGGGAGATTCGAGAGAGAGAGGGTAGCATGAGAATGGATGTGGAATGAAAATGATATCTTCATTAGCATCATTTAATGTTGTGGTTTGTTGCACTTTTTGTTTGTTTATGTTTTGTAATATTAACAGTTTGTAATTGTTTACTGTATTGTTTTAATATTTGTTTGTCGTCAGGGGTTTGACGCAGAATGTGCACTTTGCAAATTGCGCACTTTGCAAAATGTGCATTTTGTAAAATGTGCACTTTGTAAAATGCGCACTTTTCTATAGTAATTTAAATTTTACTGGAGAGTTAATAAAAATAGTATAGAAAAGTGCACTTTTTGCAGTGTTCATTATACGAAGTGCTCATTATACGAAGTGCACATTTTGCAAAGTGCGCATTTTGTGAAGTGCACATTCTGTCTCAGACCCGTCATCAGTTGTTTGGTACATTTGTGTTTGTCTACAAATGAAATGCAAAGTGATCGTCGTTGAAAATTGCACCGTAAGCCGATGGCGATCGGCACGTGTTTGCTTGACGCTAATTTTATGTTCGCTCCGCAGTGAGAATTGATCTGAAGCGTTCGATACAAATTTTCGCATACGAATTTTCATCGATTGGGTAGTTGACACCAAATCTATAGGCGTGTTTTTATAAGCTGTCAAAACGCGGTTGTATAGTCGGCGTTAAATAGTTTGTGACGGCTCTAAAACTGAACTCCGACAAACGTTACTCCGACAGTACTAAATATCGACATAACTTTACTTCGACACTACACTACTCAGACAAAGGATATTCGCGTTTGTCTTTCACGGGACAACTCTTGCTTTTTTTTACACGATAGCTCTCATTTAATAAAAAGCTACTAAAACAATTTAACAGCTATTTGAAACTTTATCGGTTAGGCTAGAATAAACTACCTAATTGACTGGTGTCTACTCCCATCGTATCTTCCTATTCCTATTAACAGTGATTTTTGTATTGGTTGCGTTTTGACACGAAGCTGTGTCTATACTTGAAATGCTTATTTCATAGGTTGACATTTGACCCATGGTAACTTATTGTTTATTTCTAAAACTTACCCCTGGGCCACACTTATCGCGATGATTAAATATTTCGGTCGACATTTTGACACCGGAGCGAAGTTTTGCGACTGCAAATACTTGTTTTCGCGATGTGTGTGGCCCAGGGGTTATGAAAGCATGTTTGTAAGAAGATTCGTCTAACTAATACTTATTGCTCATTGTATCACTATGTAGACAATCTATCTACTAAGTTTCTATTTGTTTTTTGTAAATGTATGTCAAAATTTAGTAAAAAATCAGCTGTAATTCGTTCGCCAATAATTCTTTTTTCTGTTCATCAAAATACAGTGTGTTAGTTTTTATATTTGATCAAACTAAAACCTTTGATTCTACTGTTCTAATGGAACAACTTTTTTCAAGAATACAAGAAGAAATATTATATTACAAAGATATCCATACAAATTATTAGCAATCAGTCATGATGCTCTAAATTTTTTCGAGAATTTGATATTGGTCGTGAAGAAAAGTTTGATTCCAAGTAGTGTTTCAAATCAAATCAAAAATATTCAATTTTGACCAGTATTTTTCGTTCGTACGTTTGAGTAGTAGACTCAACCATATTTCTTTGATCAAGTATAAAACTAAAACATCCTGTATAGCATCAAATCCATTACAAAAATCACTATTAAAGAAGAATCAATTCGTACCGCGAAAATTTACACATTATATAGAATTAAAGTTTACAAAAATCACTGTCAATAAAGAATCCATTCGTACCGCGAAAATTTGTCAACACACTTCCATCCCTTAAATATCGCTAACGCCACACTTGTCACCAGGTGCGTGGTATGGACTGGCGATGGTCGAGTGTTCTTCTACAACCCGACCGCGCATTCGTCCGTCTGGGAGCGGCCGCAGCAGCTGTTGGGAAGAGCCGACGTTGATAAGGCGCTGGCACACCCGCCAGCCGCGCTGCAGACGCAGGTAAGATTCCCGATAGGGTCACGGGGACAGAAGGGTAGTTTCCTAAAAAAATTTTTTTAGTCCGTCAATTTTCATATAAAAAAATATATTGGACACGTATATTTTTAGTTGTAGATTAAGAGCTAGTGAACGCCAGACCTACGTCATTTTATAAAAACTGAAAGTTTGTCAGCGTATGCTCCCAATGTAGGATATAATGTTGGTGAATTATGAAGTTTGGGTTATCGTGGCTTTGGCAGCTACCCTAAAAAACTGTCTGGCAAGGAGTTGGAACTGTCAAAACTGTCTGGCTGTTGGGGAAAATACTTCTAATTATTGCCCAAATATTATACATAAAAATCAGATTTTAGGGTATACTGTCGACTGTACAAACATCAAGCTAAATACTGTGGGATATTATGTTTTATGTAGTTTTATTAGGGGATATTTTGCTATAGCAAACAATGTATGATACATCTCATACATCTAGGTAGTTCTTCGTAATTGCTAAAATTGTTGATTATTTGGTGAAACTCCCGCATCTTACTTGATGGAAATTGATGGTCACGCTGACGGTGGAAGCGTGCTACACCTGGAATCCTTAACCATAAGAACTGGCTGAACTACATTACTGGGTAATCTTACCTCCAACCGCTGAAATACAATGCTATTAACATTGTAGTTATGGTGACAGATGGTATATGGTGGTCATTGGTGGTATGCAAATACCTCTCACAGGCATCAGTCTCACACAAAGAACTATGTTTTATGAATTGTTATGTGCTTAATAACTTGTGTCATTGTAATGTTTGTGATGAGAAAATAAAGACTATTTATTACTAGCTTTCCGCCCGCGGCTTCGCCCGCGTGGAATTTTGTCTGTCACAGAAAAACTTTATCGCGCGCGTCCCTGTTTCAAAAACCGGGATAAAAACTATCCTATGTTCTTTCCCGGGACTCAAACTATCTTTATGCCAAATTTCATCAAAATCGGTTGCGAGGTTTAAGCGGGAAAGCGTAACAGACAGACAGACAGACAGACAGACAGACAGTTGGGATAATGGTAGCTACCCAGGTGGACTTAAAAGATGCCCTACCACCAATCAAGGTTCTCTGATTCGACCATGGTAACGTCACTCCGAGGATAACTACAGAAGTCCGGTCGCCGAACAGCTAGAAACTCGTCCAATGACCCCAAAGCACCCATCCATCGCGACTGTACGACGGACAGTGAGTGTGCGGGCGCGACAGCAATATAATTGCGCGCGAGCGATAAGGATGGGTAGCTTGGGGTCATTGGACAAAATTATACGTGCTCACAGACCGGGCTTTAGTCGCGTTGTAGCTGAAAATATTTAGCGCAATCGGGGCCCAATGTTCATTAGTTCTACGGACCTCATTTCTGCAAGCTCCAAGGACCTCTTCGGGACGAGCTCTATAGGGGTTGAGGGAGTAGTAGAGGTCTTTATGACCTCTACCACTACTTCTTCTCCTGTACAGCAAGAATCAACAGTTACCGCCATCTGCCGGACATCGGTGAAGTAATGTGAAGACATCAATATCGAGCGACTACGTCCTGCCGAAGATTGTTTGTGTGAATTATGGGAGCGCGCACACGGAAGAATTTTGTCGCCGTGACTGTTTTGTCACACATAGAGAACCTTTCAGCTCAAAATGCTAACCGCTCGGAAATAGCCAACTTCTCATAATGCCAAATTCTTGACAGGTCCATGGCACGCGACTTGACTGTGACAGAAACTTTTTGTCACCTCCATGTGCGCGCTCCCTAAAGATTCATTTGTGTATTTTTATATGAATAAATAATAGGTTTTCTTATTCAATAATTGTGTAGCTATTATGCTTTTGTTGGTAATTTATGCAACGATTTACATTGATGTACAAAATGTTATGTATGTATATTGTTAAGATAAGGCCTTTACTTATGTACCTCTGTTTACTATATTTAAATCGATCTATTTGGGAACTAATTGTGAAAACTCTTTTGGTAAATGTAGCTTTAAATCAGTACATATTATAAAACAAAGTCGCTTCGCTGTCTTTCTGTCCCTATGTATGCTTAGATCTCAGATCATAGAAAGAGAATAGATATGAAGTCGCGCGTAACTACAACGAGAACCAGTGTCCCCACATTTCCCCCACCACAGCTCCCACACACACATTCAACTGTGTAAAAACAAAGCGACTGAGAGTCTACGACAACATGTCAATATCGGAGAACATTTCCTCAGTACGACTGAATCGCGACTAACCTGGCGTCGCGGGCGATGTTCGTTTCTGGGCATATCGCGGAGACACGCGCCACGCCCCCGTTTCACATCTATTCCCTTCTATGATCTGAGGCTTAGATCTTTAGAACTACGCAACTAATTTTACTGTAAGTTTTTTAAATAGATAGAGTGACTCAAGAGGAAAATTTATAAGTAAACATGCATATTATAGATGAGAAAAGCCGGGAAATTCCATTGCAACCGCGCGAAGCCGGGGCGGCCCGCTAGTGTGTAATAAAATGCTTTTTATTCTAACAATGAAAGTAAATAAATGTACGTTTCTCTCATTCAGAAGAAGGAGGCCCAAGTGACATCCACCACGAAGGCGGCCAATGGCGAGCTGAAGCGGCCGCCTGACACGGACAGCGACGACACCGCTTCCCCGCCCAAGAAGAACAAGACGGACGACGGTGAGTGTTGTTCCGCCGAGTGACGTCACCACGAAGGCGGCCAATGGCGAGCTGAAGCGGCCGCCTGACACCGACAGCGACGACACCGCTTCCCCGCCCAAGAAGAACAAGACGGACGACGGTGAGTGTTGTTCCGCCGAGTGACGTCACCACGAAGGCGGCCAATGGCGAGCTGAAGCGGCCGCCTGACCCTGACAGCGACGACACCGCTTCTCCGCCCAAGAAGAACAAGACGGACGACGGTGAGTGTTGTTCCGCCGAGTGACGTCACCACGAAGGCGGCCAATGGCGAGCAAGAAGAACAGGGCGGAAGACGGTGAATGACCTTGACTACAGTATCGAACGTTTTAACCCCGAGATCACGGAAATATTTATATCTTTGACACTTTAAACCAGGGATTCCTTAACTTATTTGAGACGCGCCCTCTTTCGATTCCTCCAATCCAGTTTTATTGGTCGTATCAAGGTAAAGCAGGTTTTTTAATACTTAACTACACAGGTGGCCCGTGCCCCCCTTTAAAGTTCTTAGCGCGCCTCCTGCAATAATTGATTGGTTTTTAATTTTTTTCTCACTCTAGCGAGCACTTCTAGTTTTGTTTTTACTTATTTACTCTAGAGAAGCTTCTAGAGTGAGAAAAAAGTTAGTAACCAACCATAGGTGATAGTTAAAGATAAATCACAAAATTAACTAATCCTAAACTAAGCAAAATCGTAGAACATATATGGGGCTGATTTAGATACACCTTGATGTAAGGAATCTAAATTATAGCTTTTAACTCCCTGGCCACCCTGTATAAGAAAGAAAGAAACATTAATTGCCATGGACATCACAGAAGACAAAAGATGTAAATAATAGAAAAAAAAGCAAATAAGACATAGGTGACATAAAACATACAATGAAAGTGAAAGTAAACTGAGCAGTGCCACCCTGTCGCACAGCGATGCCCATCGCAATGGGACCCCCACTCAGCATATGCCGTGGCCCCCGGTGAGGGAGGCCACGACGCTGGTTTTCAGTGTGCCCCACAACCTATACTGCATAAAATATACATACATAAATAATAATAACAGTGTATAAGACATCATAATTAATGTCTACCCTCGCTCCGCAGGCAAGAAGGGCACGATCGACGTGGGCAAGGACGCGGCCATGGAAGCGGAGATGCGAGCCGCCCGCGAGCGCGCCGTCGTGCCGCACGAGCAGAGACTGCGCGCCTTCCTGCAGATGCTGCACGAGAAGGTGAGAACATTGAACCATATCCGGCTCGAAGGACCAAAAAGATTTACAGCAAAAAAAAAACGAAATTTATATCCGGCTCGAAGGACCAAAAAGATTTACAGCCAAGACTACAGCCCCAAGAGTGAGGCTGCGCGCCTTCCTGTAGATGCTGCACGAGAAGATGAGATTACAAAGAAATATGTGCCCAACTATCTGGCTCGAAGGACCAGCCAAGGCAGCCTTATGAGCAGAGACTGCGCCTTCCTGCAGATGCTGCACGAGAAGGTAATATAATACCCCATCCCTCCACAGAATTCATCTTAAGTCTATGGAAAAAACTGAAGAAAAATCCGGCTCGAAGGACCAGAAAAGTGAACAAACTATCCGGCTTGAAGGACCAAAAAGATTTACAGCCAAGAAAAGCGACATTACAAGGCCCCATCCCTCCACTAAATACATTCTTGGCTAATAGGGAGACTGTATGGTGGAATGATCCGGCTCGAAGCACCAAAAATATTTACAGCCAAGAGGCGTCGCCTTTGCGCCTTTCTGCAGATGCTGCACGAGAAGGTAATATCAATATACCATGCCTCCACTGAAAACAATCCGGCTCGAAGGACCAAAAAGATTTACAGCCAAGACTACATCCTCTAAGAGAAGGTAAAATTTCACTGATCCCTCCACTAAATACTATCCGGCTCGAAGGATCAAAAAGATTTGGTTGCAAAAAAAAAATGCCCCATCCCTCGTTCACTGTGTGTGTACATCCCTTCAGAACACACTCCCACCACAGTCACTTAAGGATTGACGCACACACATGACGATTGACGACGTATCACGCTTATAACATACAAAGATGCTGCACGATAAGGTGAGATTAGTGTCCCATCCCTCCAAACCCTGATTCATTTCAGCTGTCAGCGCTGACGGTCAGCGTGATTCTAAAACAAGCCTAAGTAGTCGCACGAGACTGCGGTAACAACTTATCTTTTGTTGTATCCATTTGCTGGTACTTGAGTTATTAATATTTGAATTTGTCCTCAGGACGTGTCCGCGTTCAGCGCCTGGGAGAAAGAGCTGCATAAGATTGTCTTCGACCCGCGCTATCTCATGCTCGACGCGAAGGAACGGCGGCAGGTGAGTGGTTCATTGATTTTATGTACGGACGACACGAGTACATGTTATGGTCTTTGTTGACTAAAGCACGGTCTGTAAGCACGTAGAATTTTGTCCAATTACCCCAAGCTACCCGTCCTTATCGCTCGCGTGGGGTCATTGGACAAAATTCTACGTGCTCGCAGACAAGACTATAGAGGATTAATGAGATCTTGGGTGCCATGTTATGAAGCTTTGAAATTCGTTTCGTAAAACGAGCCGTGCATGTTTGCTAGCCTAGAAAGTCTTAGGCTAAGAACTCATGGCGCGATTTTCATCCGCGCCCGCGGCGATTGCGGGCCCGCAGCTTCTGTAGAATGCAGACACTTATGTAAAAACTAATATACAACTCACGACGCGGTTTTCGCTCGCAGCGGGCGCGGTTTTAATCGGGTCCCGCTCGGCGGGCGACCATTTTGTACCAGTGACATAGCACGAGTTCTTAGAATAACCGCGCAAATAACCGCTCCCGTGAGTTTTTAAATAAAACCTTTTCATTTTCAATTCATTCTGTGCACACATGCTTAGAGTTGCGGTTTAGATTAATCTATGGAATATTATCTGTGCCTGAATATGACTGTAACTTGTTTTGTGAGCCTTAAATAAATAAATAAAAACCGCAATTCCACAACCGCCGCCGGCGCGAGTGAAAATCGCGCCGTGAGTTCTTAGCCTTAGTGTCGGCGCAAATGAGCCACCGACCACAGCCACCGGTGGCCAGCGACGGCGACTTAACGCACTTTTTGTATAGTGGCGAGTCGCGGACACTATAGCGAGTGGCCGCCACCGGCTACACGTGTGCGCTCTATACAAAATAAATTATAAAGTGTGTCAAGTCGCCGTCGCTGGCCACCGGTGGCTGTGGTCGGTTGCTCATTTGCGCCGACACTAAGGCTGGTTTTAAGTGTCACGCGGACCGTCCGGTGCGGACCCGCTCCGCATGGCCGATCTGTATGAACTTCTAGGGAGCGTTTTAGAGTAATGCGGTCCGGAGGAACCGCTCCGCTCCCTAGCAGTTCATACAGATCGGCCGTGCGGAGCGATCCGCACTGACAGTCCGCGTGACACTAAAACCAGCCTTAACTCGATCGGGTTGTAGTGAGAAACTGCTTGAAGTTTATAAGTTCGTATTAAACTTGGCTTTCTTATTAGGTGTTCGACCAATACGTGCGTGACCGGGCCGAGGAGGAGCGCAAGGAGATGAAGAACCGGCTGCAGCAGAAGAAGCTCGCCTTCCGCGCGCTCATGGAGGAAGCCAAGCTGCAGGCCAAGTGAGTACACAGTCCTTATATCCACAAAGGGCATAACACAACCCCTATGTGTAAAGCCCGGTCCGTGAGCACGTAGAATTTTGTCCAATGACCCCAAGCTACCCATCGCAAAGCTGTCGCGTACGCATACTCACTGCGGGTGTCAGTCGCACAGTCGCGACAGCAATATAATTACGCGCGAGCGATAAGGATGCGTAGCTAATGGTCATTGGACAAAATTCTACGTGCTCACGGACCAGACTATAGGCGCACATAAGGCGACTTGACGAGACAGCAGGCTGCGGCTGACAATTTCATATATTTTGTTCAAAGCTTCGCACACTAGGCGTCAGAGTCGCAGCGTGGCGACCATAAGCTAATATATTTTTTTATCCACAACGAGGAAGCTCTTGGCCTGTATCTCACCTGATGGTAAGTGATGATCAGGCCGAAGGTGGAAGCGAGCTTCACCCGGAATCCTCAACCACGGAGGATATATGAAACTAACGACTGCCCGCGACTTCGCACGCGTGGATCCCGTTTTACCCCCTTAGGGGTTGGATTTTGCAAAATTCCGTCTTAGTGAGCACCTACGTTCTAAAAGGAACCCTCGTGCAAAATGTGAGACTTCTAGCATTTGTAGTTTCTGAGATTTCGTGATGAGTGAGTCATCTGGGGGCACGGCAGTGCCCCCACCAAGTCGAGCAAAAAAGCGGCACGGCCGTACCATCCTTTTCTCGAAGCAATTCAGGCCATTTTCGACTGCCTGTAACTTCGTTGTGGATAAAACTAGAAGGCTGAATTTTCATTAGCTATGCAGGCATTGTAAAGACACGGTATATTTAAAATTTCATTCAATTTGAACCAGTAGTTTAAGAATTATAACGGGTCAAAGTTACTTAATTTTGTCACTCACTGACTCACTGACTCACTGACTCACTGACTCACCGATCATCAAAACTCTAAGGCACTTCTAGCAGACCTAGAAGCTTCAAATTTGGAATATAAGTAGTGTTTGGTGTATGAATCAAGGAAAAACTAAAATATTTGGGGGCACGGTAGTGCAACCGCCAAGTCGAGTAAAATTTTTCAATTTCGGTCCAGTTTTCTAGATACATAACTGCTGTCTACAAAATACAAAAAGAAATGAGATCCCATCAAAAACAATACTTGTCAAAAAAACCAAGTCTCGCAACTCAGTTGTTCTACGGTAAAAAGTTGTGAGATCCATGTAATACCAAGTCCAGGCCAGGAAATCTTTAACGTTTTACATAAATATATTGACTTGGCCATCGCATGAAAACACGTGTAAATTAAATTATTTAGTGCGATGGCCAAGTCAATAATTTATGTAAAACGTTAAAGATTTCCTGGCCTGGACTTGGTATTACATGGATCTCACAACTTTTTACCGTAGAACAACTGAGTTGCGAGACTTGGTTTTTTTGACAAGTATTGTTTTTGATGGGATTAACCTTTCGCTTTTATAGATATGAAATTAACAAGGTGTCAAGTCGCCGAGCTGTCGCGTGTCGCCTAGTGTGCGCCAGTACTATGCGTCCCACTGCAGGGCGCAGCCCTTATAAGCGCCCCACTAGAAAGTATTGCCCATACAGCAAAGTGTAGTGGTTCTGGTTATGTGTTGTTTTTTGTTTGTATTTAATGGTCGACCCGCACTTGGTATAACTGTCAGGATATTCTTTTATACATTTTGTATAATCTGTAGCACAACTAGGGATTGCAAATATTCGATAGATTTCTATTTCGAATATTCGAATATTTTTTCAGTGATATTCGAATATTATTCGAATATTCGAATACTTTCAAAAAAAATAAAATGTACTTAAATTATCAATGTTTTATTGCTGGTTTTATTGCTTTAGGAACTATATTTTAACTATTTAACAATGTAGTTTTTAAAACAGTTATAAAATTCTCATCATCATCATAATAATTTCAGCCATAGAACTTCCACTGCTGAACACTAGGCCTCTTCCAATGACTTACACAATGACTGCTTGGCAGCGGCCTATATCCAGCGCCTTCCCGCTACCTATANTTTTTTTTTTGTGTTCACGCATTTGAAGTCGGTTTTATTTTTTTTAAAAGTTAATTATGACAAATATTTATGCTAAATGGCTGCTTAAAACGTAACTGAGTTTAGACTTTGTTCTTTTTGAGAGTCTAAAAATTTGATTTTTCCAATAATCGCTATATCTATAAAATTTTCATTATTGAGAGGTCATTCTTCATAAAACTAAAATACAAAATGTCATCATGCCTATTAGAAGTTATTACGTTCAGTCCAAATCAAAAAATCCGCCCAAGTTGATACATAGTTTAATAGTGAAGGTACCTAAAAATTTTCCAGTATTTTCAAAAATAGTATGTCCTCCATTATGACATAGGTATTTGGTATTTTTTGTCAAATGCGTCAAAACTAAGACCAGTTATTGTTTACCAGGGTGTCCACATTCTGGAAAGTCAGGGNGCTGTATACATAGTTGGTCAGGGAATTTTGAAAAAATTGTCAGGGAAAGTCAGGGAAAAGTCAGGGAATTTTTTCGAACATTTGCAGTGGACACCCTGTTTACATAATACTGAAGGTGTGACAGTCTCTTCAAAGATCTGTGGACACCATAAATATGTCATTGAGAAAAGGACGATTGAGAGAAAATGAATTCCATCAACTCCCTGACTTGGGGTGGATTTTCGGAAAAGGGTGACAAAACGGAATAACTCAACAAAAGCTTGTAAAAAAATAGACGAGTTTTGAAGTAAAAAAAAACTCAAAATAATGTAAGTTGGAAGCCTATGGTAATTTGCTACCTTTAGTAGTAAACTTATAATACTTGTGTCATAAAAACTGTAGTAAAATTTGTCAAAAAATAGTCCAGATATTGCTAGTGCCTTCGTTTATCTTAAACTACAGCTTACAACTTACAAAATGTAGGGCCGTTTTTCATCAAGTTGGAGGTGAGATGAGATGTGCGGAGACTAGCATGCCGCGGATGGGATATTTTCACTAAAGCGGAGCGGAGATCTACGCGTTCCCACTCCGCCGTAAATCTCCGCTCTACTCATTTGTTTCCACTGAATCTGAGCGGAGACGAGACGGGTAAATAACGGAAATTGATTAATTAGGCAGGCTTAAGAGAAAAATATTTTTATTGGTTTTCAACCTTTTTATCCACGAAGACGCGCCCCACCAATGTTTGGGGAGTTCGATCCGAGCAATGCGAGCGTCATTATTGTAGTGTGCGTTTGCACTCATGGATGATTTAGCGAGTGGTGGGGCGCGTCTTCGTGGATGAAACGATCTATACCTTAGTAGAAATTCATGCAGGGTCATTAAACCCTGGATAAGTTAAAACACGTCTCGTCTCCTCTGAATCCGTTTGGTGAAAAACGGGCCTTAAAAACGATAATATTTTGTCAGCAGATGATGTAGAAGTTTTTTTAATGTTAGTGAAAGAGACGGGGATATCTGTCAAAGATGTGGCATGATGTGTCTCTGTCTAATTGGTGGAACCGAAAGAGGATGGAATGATATATTTTTTGTTATTTCGTGATGGTGTAGTTAAATGTGTGGCCCAAATATGTAGATGTGTAAGAGAGAAAGGGAGATTTGAGAGAGAGAGGGTAGCATGAGAATGGATGTGGAATGAAAATGATATCTTCATTAGCATCATTTAATGTTGTGGTTTGTTGCACTTTTTGTTTGTTTATGTTTTGTAATATTAACAGTTTGTAATTGTTTACTGTATTGTTTGTCATCAAGGATTTGACGCAGAATGTGCACTTTGCAAATTGCGCACTTTGTGAAATGTGCACTTTGTAAAATGCGCACTTTGCAAAATGTGCACTTTTTTGTACTAAAAGCTGAAATATTAGTATGGAAAAGTGCACATTTTGCCAAGTGCGCATTGTGCGAAGTGCACATTCTGTCTCAGACCCGTCATCAGTTGTTTGGTACATTTGTGTTTGTCTACGAATAAAATGCAAAGTGATCGTCGTTGAAAATTGCACCGTAAGCCGATAACGTTCGGCACATGTGTGCTTGACGCTAATTTTATGTTCGCTCCGCAGTGAGAATGGATATTTCTGAAGCGTTCGATACAAATTTTCGCATACGAATTTTCATCGATTGGGTAGTCGACACCACTAATGTATCAGCTGTCAAAAGTTAATCCTCCCATGTTTTTTTATACCAAAGGTAAAAGCTTCACTAGCTAGCCAACTCAAGGAGGGCTATCGTTTTTATTCTTAACGTTGGCATCACTGACCACTGCTGAGTCACAGGTACTGACCTCCATACACACGACTCGCTGCTGTCATAATATTTTTCTGCCTATTTGAGTTTCGCCATGGCGCTGTAGGCCATACTGTAGGCAGATAGTAGTCCATTAGTAATGTTCTTTCTCGCTTACTCCTATGGTTACTCCATACAACGTACGTCAAAATTAGTTCTCGGGACAATCGTAGTGGCGCTTCAAATCAAAATTAGCTGTCATTTGTATGAGACAGCCTGTTCAGTGTCTATAGAGGTCAGTGGTCACAGGACTTTACAGTGACGCTATCCTGGTGATTTCAAATGCGATAGTCCTTTCGCTTCAGCGGTCACCAATTGGCGCCACTGTTTTGACAACTACCGAGTGACAGGACCTTACTTTACAGTGGCGCCATCCTGGTGATTGCAAATACGATAGCTATTGATTTCGAAGCTACTAAAAATCTGATTTTACAGCAAATAAATTAAAATATAATGTTAAAGGAGTTTTATCTTGGCTGGAAGTTATGCTTCGACCACACCAACGCGTGCAGATCGCCATCGCCGGCGCGATGAAAGACAGGTCGCGCGACCTATGACAGTTCACGCGACCTGTCATTGGCCTTTGATCGCGCCGTGATCGCGCCGGCGATGGCGACCTGTAGGCCTAGGATGCGCGCCGCGATAAGCGGTTATCACGCCATTTTATCGATTTTGCCTATACATTTTGACGCCGATAAAGTATATCACGGTGCGCATCTTAGCCCTACAGCACGCGTTGGTGTGAAACTTATTGGTTAATGGTGTCGATTTACCCAATTACAATGTCTACTTCTACTGTATTCTTTTATTAACAGTGATTTTTGTATTGGTCATGTTTTGAAATGAAACTGTCTTCTATATGTCTAAAACGCTTAATTTGTAGATTGACATTTGACCCATGGTAACTTATTATTTATTTCTAGAACTTACCCTTGGGTCACACACGTCGCGATTATGCAGATATTTGGCTACAAACATCGCGACAGCGCAAATCTTCGGGTTATCGCGATGTGTGTGGCCCAGGGGTTATGAAAGCATGTGTGTAAGAAGATTCGTCTAACTAATTCTTAATGCTCATTGTGTAGACATATCTATCTACTGACTTTCATTATGTGGCTCGTTGGTATTTTTGTAAAAGTATGTCAAAACTTAGAAAAAGATCCTTGTCGAAACAGCTGTAATTCGTTCGCCAAACATTTTTCTGTTTATTAAATGTCAACGCTATTTATACAGTGTGTTATTTTTATACTTGTTCAAACAAAACCGTGGATTCTACTGTTCTAATCGAACAACTTTTCATTTCTTTTCAATACAAGAAGAAATATTACAAAAATATCCATAAAAATTATTAGCAATCAGTCATGATATAACTATTCGAAGTAGTGTTTCCAATCAAATCAAAAATATTCAATTTGACCAGTATTTTTCGTTCATACGTTTGAGTAGTAGACTCAACCATATTTCTTTGATTAAGTATAAAACAAAACACCCTGTATAGCAATTAGGGCCATAACAAAAATCACTGTCAACGAATCAATTCGTACCGCGAAAATTTGTCAACACACTTCCATCCCTTAAATATCGCTAACGCCACACTTGTCATCAGGTGCGTGGTATGGACTGGCGATGGACGAGTGTTCTTCTACAACCCGACCGCGCATTCGTCCGTCTGGGAGCGGCCGCAGCAGCTGTTGGGAAGAGCCGACGTTGATAAGGCGCTGGCACACCCGCCAGCCGCGCTGCAGACGCAGGTACGATTCCCGATGGGGTGAAGGGGACAGAAAGGTAGTTTCCTAAAAAAATTTTTTTAGTCCGTCAATTTTCATGTAAAAAAATATTGGACACGTATACAGGGTGTCCCAGAATGGGTGAATCAAACTGCTAGGGGAGGTAGCTCTACTAATGTACTATCCCTAAAAAATATTTAAAAAAATTTGAGTTCGGATTTTTTTTAAATAAAGTGCTCTAAACTCGAAATCTAGTCATTATTTTCAAAATTTTGTTTACAGATAAACGAAGCGATCATGTACAATTGATATTAGTAAGAAAAAAGTACAAATAAACTCCAAACGCAGCAATTATAGCCAGATACTTAGGCAAAGCGGATTTATTTTCACTTTAAAAAAAATTGTTTTATTTTCACATTTTTTAGGGATAGTACATTAGTAGAGCTACCTCCCCTAGCAGTTTGATTCACCCACTCTGGGACACCCTGTATTTTTAATTGTCAATCAAACAAATAGGTAATTACAAAGTTATAGTGTGTTGAAGTTCCGCGCGACGTCACAAAGTGCTGCACTTTTACGCACTCACTGACGTCACAACTTTGACACGGTATAACTCTTTACATTTTCATTAGTTTTAAAAAGTGAAAAATACGTGTCGAGTAGTTTTTGTTAAGCTAACTGACGGACTAATTAAAACTCTTGCTTTTTTACCCAGGAAACATCCCTATTGTAACAAAGACGTGTTGCGAACTTTTTGGCTGCTTTAGGTGTAACAAACTACACTGGTCATCACAAAAATCGACCCTCCCGCGACAAGCACTTTCAAACGTATGCATCCCCACTTCCCACTAATATTGGCACCATTTAAAAGCCTAGTTCTATTTATTTATTTTATTTTATTGTGACAAACGAGAAATTATACAAATAAGTATACATTACAATATTAAGTGTCCATTTGTCACCAACACCGTTTACCACAGATTTATTAAACAAAATCATTACACATTTCGTTGAGAGGTAGTGTACTTATAAATTTGTGTTGGTTCAAATAGCACTGTCCTGCAATGTGAGCAATATCATTTTTCTGAATGCACCTACCTTCTAAACTTCATTTCATTAAAGGAAACGATTTTACCCCAAAAATGTGTAGAAGAATCCAGAGTCACTTCTTAAAAAAAAAAAGGGAATTACGCTTGAGCCAACTTTTATGGCTATAAAACTGTTAAGTTGGGATTAATCGCTATACATCTGTTAAAGAGGACACGTGAGATCATTATTTGGTTTTATAACCATGAAAATTGGTCTAATTGATCCCAGAGGTGAGCCCAAAGTGAGGTCTTTTTTCAAGTCACATTTATGGTATATGTTAATCATTTATTAAGAAATGAAATGAATTTTTCTTTAATAATATTTATTGGGCTTTCAAATAACACCAATATTATTAGGGTACCATGATTGTGTTAGAAGAAAATCTTTAAAGTTCGCGTCGCAGGAGGGTCTTTTGTCTTTTGAGGGATTTATTTGATGTTGAGTGTAGTTCCGATTGTAACAAAGACGTGTTGCGAACTTTTTGACTATTTTAGGTGTAATAAACTATTTGACGATGGCTACAGACAAGCTGCCCGTGCTGAAACCATATAGTTGAACGATAGTAGCGCCCCCTTGTCATTGAGTTTGGTGGGACAGTTCAGCGTGGGTCATCTATAGCTTCGGCGCAGTGCCGATCACTGACGTTTGTCAACAAAATGGTGCTTGACTCTTGAGACAAGTTAAATTACACCATATTCTTAATGACATTGAGCATACATTTTGTTAAATACCTTCTCGAAGTAAAACTTTTGTACGGAGTACTTATTATTATTCTGTGGTCTAAAGCCTGGTCTGTGAGCACGTAGAATTTTGTCCAATGACCCCAAGCTACCCATTACCCATCCTTATCGCTCGCGCGTAATTATATTGCTGTCGCGACTGTGCGACGGGCGCCCGCAGTGAGTGTGCAAGGCGCAGTGAGTGCCCCTAGGACCTCTTCGGGACGAGCTCTATAGGGGTTGAGGGAGTAGTAGAGGTCTTTATGACCTCTACCACTACTTCTTCTCCTGTTCAGCCAGAATCTACGGTTACCGCCATCTGCCGGACATCGGTGAAGTAATGTGAAGACGTCATCATCGAGCGAATACGTAGTACGTAGTGTGAGCTTATATCAAACGTCGTCACTAGCGAGCGTGTTCAAAAAATATATGAAGATTTTAGTTCTTGAATGTTTCCGCTAAGGGCGCTGTATAATCGGTCATACATTTAATGTCACGTTTTTAAGCAGTCGATGTCGAATACGTTTGACGAAAACTCACACTACGCCCCTGAAGATTTTTTGTTTATGTGAAATAGGGGAGCGCTTGCACGGATGAATTTTGTCGCCGTGACTGTTTTGTCACTCACGCCCGTATTCACAAACATTACTATGAGGTCTCACTGTGCGCCCACGCCACGACACGAACCAATCACAGAGCTCTATTCAACGCTGTGCGTTCGATTTGCCGCATCACTTAAGCAAGCATCGTTTGTGAATACGGGCGTCATACCAAGTCCATGGAAATGTATGGGGGTGCGCGCACGTATCGCCGTGACAGTGACAGAAACTTTTTTGTCACAACCATGCGCGCGCTCCCTTAACCGATTGAGTCCCAGACGGCATTAATTAATGTTATAACAATTGATTATCTATTGTGTCTAGATTCGCGGAGCTTGAAGGATTAAGGCACGATTCTCATTGACCGGCGCGCGTCACACGACACTATACTTGGTTGATGCCAGTGGATACGCGTGCATTCCACCGCATTTTAGCCGAACGGACGTGGTTGCCGACTCGCGACGGTCAATGAAAATCGTCCTTTACGATTCATTTGTATCTTTTTATATGTGTAGGGACACATTGTTTGTAATTTGATTGCAAAGATTTACATTGATGTACAAAATGTTTTGCATATTGTTAAGGAGTCTTTACTTACATGTACTCGCATTTTCTGTTTACTCTAACTAAATCTATCCATGTAAGAAATATTTGTGAACTCTTTTGGCAACTAACACCCTTACTAATAAAAGTTACACGCTCGTTGAACAGTGTTATAAAGTGACGTTCAATATGGAAATGTCATTTTAAAACAGTGTTCAAGAAGCGTGTAACTTTTTATTAGTAAAGGGGTTAATCTTACTAATATTATAAATGCGAAAGTAACTCTGTCTATCTCTCTTTCACGCCTAAACCACTAACCGATTTTGATGAAATTTGGATAGTTTTTGTCCCGGTTTTTGAAACAGGGACGCGCGCGATAAAGTTTTTCTGTGACAGACAAAATTCCACGCGGGCGAAGCTGCGGGCGGAAAGCTAATGTGTAATAAAATGTTTTTTTTTTTATTCTAAAAATAAAAATGTACTTTTTTCCCATTCAGAAGAAGGAGGCCCAAGTGACATCCACCACGAAGGCGGCCAATGGCGAGCTGAAGCGGCCGCCTGACACGGACAGCGACGACACCGCTTCCCCGCCCAAGAAGAACAAGACGGACGACGGTGAGTGTTGTTCCGTCGAGTGACGTCACCACGAGTGGCGAGCTATGTTTAACATGCCATATACGAGCAAACAAACTTGGCGGCGCACTGTAGCAGACGAGGCGAAGAAGATCGGAAAGACTTGCAGCGAGATCAAACGCGAAGCTCAAGACCGAACGCGATGGAGGACTGTTGTGGATGCCCTCTGCCCCATCTATGGGACTTAGCATTAGAGATGGGTTATACTAGGTAAATTTGATACTAGGTGCACCTATTCCTAGTATTTATTAATACTTGATCCAAATACCTGTTCCACCTAGTACGTAGTAATTTAGCATACTTGACGCGACTAGTGCGGACTAATCCACGTAATGGACTTTAAAATACAATTTTATTTGAAAAGATACAACCGTAGTATGAATAATGCAATTTGAAATTGAATAATAATTCCTCCCTTCATACTTCAACAGGCTTTCAACTTACAAGTTGGCGTATTTAAAAGATATCAATTTCATAAAAATATTTACATATTTTTTCTTATTTACATGAATATGGTTTGACTACGTTTGTGTGCGTTTGCTTCGTTGTTCTAGTAAATACGTCTCATCTCTACATAGCATCTTAGTTAAGTCCAGTCAAAGCCATATCTATCTCCATCTATTTATAGCAGCCTTTGGGGTTCGTTTTCGAACTTCCTTCCTCATCAACTTTCCACCTACTTCTGTCCCTGTCCACTTGCATCCAGTTTATACCAGCCGAATGTCATCTGTCCATCTTTTAGGCGGTCTTCCTCTGCCGCAGGGTTATTGCGGGGTCTCCACTCCAAGGTCTTTCTGGCCCAGCGATCGTGGTTCATCCGTGCAATGTGTCCTGCCACCTCCATTTATGGCTCTCACGGCTATAAACGATGCTTGCTTAAGTGAAGCCGCAAATCGACTCACAGCGTTGAATAAAGCTCTGTGATTGGTTCGTGTGTCACCCGGTGCGTCCACGCGCACTGTGAGACCTCATAGTAATGTTATTGAATACAGGCGTCCATTTTTTCACTACGTCGCTGACACCCTTCTTTTCTCCGATCCACTCGTTTCTTTTGTGATCTTGTAAAGTCTGGTCCGGGAGCACGTAGAATCCCGTCCAATGACCCCCAAGCTACCCATCCTTATCGCTCGCACGTAATTATGTTGCTGTCGCGCTCACACACTCACTGCGGGCGCGCGTCGCACAGTCGCGACAGCAATACAATTACGCGCGAGCGATAAAGATGGGTAGCTTGGGGTCATTGGACGGGATTCTACGTGCTCACAGACCAGACTTCGTTCGTTCGTTTCAGCCGAAAGACGTCCACTGCTGGACAAAGGCCTCCCCCAAGGATTTCCACAAAGACCGGTCCTGCGCCGCTTGCATCCAGGTACGTCCCGCGACCTTCACCGCAGTACGCCGCACGAAATACCGCAGTGTCTCAAGTCAAAAGTATTTGACCAGTGTGTGTTGCCAGTGATGGTATATAGCTCTGAGACGTGGTCGCTTACTATGGGCCTCATAAGAAGGCTCAAGGTCACCCAAAGAGACCAGACTTTACAAGATCACAAAAGAAACGAGTGGATGGGAGAAAAGAGGGGTGTCAGGTCAGCGACGTAGTGATAAAATGGACGCCCGTATTCACTAACATTACTATGAGGTCTCACAGTGCGCGTGGACGCACAGGCTGACACGCGAACCAATCACAGAGCTATATTTAACGCTTACACGCACTTACGCACGACCGGGCTTTATATGAATGTTTAACACGCTACATAAGACGCCATAATTAACATCTACCCTCGTTCCGCAGGCAAGAAGGGCACCATCGACGTGGGCAAGGACGCGGCCATGGAAGCGGAGATGCGAGCAGCCCGCGAGCGCGCCGTCGTGCCGCACGAGCAGCGCCTGCGCGCCTTCCTGCAGATGCTGCACGAGAAGGTATCCCCCATCCCTCCACTGTTTACTATCCGGCTCGAAGGACCAAAAATATTTACAGCCAAAAAAAGCGAAATTACAAGGCCCTATCTCTTCACTAAATACATTATTGGCTAATAGGGAGACTGTGTGGTGGAATTATCCGGCTCGAAGGACCAAAAATATTTACAGCCAAGAGAGGCGGCGCTTGTGCGCCTTCCTTCTTGCAGATGCTGCACGAGAAGGTAATATCAATATACTATGCCTCCACTGAAAACAATCCGGCTCGAAGGACCAAAAAGATTTACAGCCAAGACTACATCCTCTAAGAGAAGGTAAAATTTCACTGATCCCTCCACTAAATACTATCCGGCTCGAAGGATCAAAAAGATTTGGTTGTTGTTACTTGTTCACTGTGTGTGTACATCCCTTCAGAACACACTCCCACCACAGTCACTTAAGGATTTACGCACACACATGACGATTGATGACGTATCACGCTTATAAGATACAAAGATGCTGCACGATAAGGTGAGATTAGTGTCCCATCCCTCCAAACCCTGATTTGGCGATTGAAGTGGGACTGTACGAAAACGGTGAAATGTACACCACAGAAATCTAGAAAAGAATTCCATACATACACAAGAGTTAGCTCGTACAACCCTATGGCTGGTTTTAGAATCGCGCTGACCGCTCGCTGATCGTCGGCGCTGACAAATCAAAATGTATGTAATTAAAGGGAACGTTCTTGAGTGACGCTGATCGCTCGGCGCCGACGCTTCATACATTTCAGCTGTCAGCGCTGACGGTCAGCGTGATTCTAAAACCAGCCTAAGTAGTCGCACGAGACTGCGGTAACAACTGATTTTTGTTGTATTGATTTGATAGTACTTGAGTTAGTAATATTTATATTTGTCCTCAGGACGTGTCCGCTTTCAGCGCCTGGGAGAAAGAGCTGCATAAGATTGTCTTCGACCCGCGCTATCTCATGCTCGACGCGAAGGAACGGCGGCAGGTGAGTGGTTCATTGATTTTCATGGAAAATAGCCCACTGGATACCGTCTGCGGTCAGGTCAAAGTAATTACATTATTACTGCATTCCCCTTCTGACCCACCGCACTACCAAACCACACTACCAGTAGTGTCGTGGGGAATATTTTTTCCCTTCTACACTACCAAGCCAGTAGTGGCGACTGTGCGACGGGCCCCGCAGTGAGTGTGCGAGTGCGACAGCAACAATTACGCGCGAGCGATAAGGATGGGTAGCTTGGGGTCATTGGACAAAATTTTACGTGCTCACGGACCAGGCTTTAGTATGACAAATCTTTAAAACTGCCGAGCATTATTTAGAGATTGCAGTCATTGTTTTTAAATATCATAATAACCGCCTCTGTGGTCTAGTGGTAAGAAGACCACCTGCTTCAGACGCAGAGGTCCCGGGTTCGATTCCCAGTGGGGTCAGATTTTTCTGTTCGGTTTGGTTGGTGGTAGGGCTTGTTCTAAGTCCGCCTGGCTAGCTACCACCATCTTACCTAAGTCTGTCGCCATAACAACAATGATAACAGCATTGTTGTGTTCCGGCAGTTATAGGTATGTTAGCCAGTTCCTCCGTGGTTGAGGATTCCGGGTGAAGCTCGCTTCCACCTTCGGCCTGATCGTCACTTACCATCAGGTGAGATACAGGCCAAGAGCTTCCTCGTTATGAATTTAAAAAAACCCAACTACTTTGAAAAGGAAATTGTGTCCCCAAATTATACCGATATCTTGGCTGACCTATGGGTATGGACTATGTAAGGTTCTGTCACTCGCTTGTGGCTAAGACAGTGACATAAACTGGTAAGCGCTTTAGTGGTAGAAATACCGCATTTGCACTTACCACCATGGCGCCACTGTTGAGTAAGGTCCTGTCACTCGCATTAGCCAGTAGGCTAACGTATGGTTGGTATTTGCATTCACCAGGATAGCGGCTGACTGTAGGTAGTGTAAGGTTCTGTCACTAGCTTCTGCTGACCTACTTTATCATTGTAAATATTTTGTCAAATAAAAAAAAACAGAAACGATAGTCATTGCAATGATTGAAGTTGCCTCAGAACCTTGCATTACGAGGTGTCTTCTGTCCTTTCTTCCAAAATATTGAAGCTTATTTATTATTCCACTAGGTGTTCGACCAATACGTGCGCGATCGAGCCGAGGAGGAGCGCAAGGAGATGAAGAACCGGCTGCAGCAGAAGAAGTTAGCTTTCCGAGCGCTTATGGACGAAGCTAAGCTGCAGGCCAAGTAAGTACCCGCGGCCAAGTGAGTACCCGTGGCCAAGTAGGCATAAACCCGTCCCACAGCTCTTATAGCCTCCACTGTAGGGTATAGCCCCTAAGGCCACCAAAGAACCGGCTGCAGCAGAAGAAGTTAGCTTTCCGAGCGCTCATGGACGAAGCTAAGCTGCAGGCCAAGTAAGTACCCGCGGCCAAGTGAGTACCCGTGGCCAAGTAGGCATAAACCCGTCCCACAGCTCTTATAGCCTCCACTGTAGGGTATAGCCCCTAAGGCCACCAAAGAACCGGCTGCAGCAGAAGAAGTTAGCTTTCCGAGCGCTTATGGACGAAGCTAAGCTGCAGGCCAAGTAAGTACCCGCGGCCAAGTGAGTACCCGCGGCCAAGTAGGCATACACCACACACACAGCCCTTATAGCCTCCACTGTAGGGCATACCCCCTAAGGCCACCAAAGAACCGGCTGCAGCAGAAGAAGCTCGTCTTCCGAGCGCTCATGGATGAAGCCAAGCTGCAGGCCAAGTGAGTACCCGCGGCCAAGTAGGCATACACCCGTCCCACAGCTCTTATAGCTGTTGGAAACCAACAAGGAGTTTTTATACTTTTTATTACTTTTTCTTCTAAACTAAGGCCCGGTTTCCACCAAAGAACCGGCTGCAGCAGAAGAAGCTCGCCTTCCGAGCGCTCATGGATGAAGCCAAGTTGCAAGCCAAGTAAGTACACCATCAATCCGACGACTTTACCCTTTATAGGACTCTGTCATCACCATTTCAGTCACAGGACGTCCACTGCTGAACATAGGCTTCTAATGATTTCGCACGGTTGGTAGACAGAACTGACGGCTGATGGAGCAGCATGGTTCGGGAGTGGAGGCCACGTACCGGAAAACGCATCGTGGTCACCCACAAGGTGGACCGACGACCTCACAAAGGTAGCAGGAAGGTGCTGGATGCAGGCCGCTACCAAATGGGCGATGTGGGACTGTAGCATATATAGCCTGACCAGGAACATAAAAACCCTGGCATAGAGGCGCGTCAATTGCATTTGATAGTGCAACACTGAGTACAGTCGTACCTGTGTTAAATTAATAGGCTAACTTTATGTATCAGGATTCAGGATTACGGGCTAATTTGATATTTTCATAAGTTAACGAAAAAGATTATACTATAGGTAACCTGGTTTAAATAAATTAAATGAAACCATCAATCGAACTAGTAGGATTTATTTTATTATTCATCAATAATCAAATTCTGAACTTGAATATTCAACTGCAATGTCTGCTCATGAACGCTTCAAACTCGGTACTTCTTTCCCAATTCCATAAAATTCAACACTTACAAAGTGACAAAAAACTTTAAAATAGGTAGTTGAAACAAACCACAGCTAATTTTCATAGTGAACTGTACTATACGATAAACATGTCAGTCAATTTGACAACCTTTGTCGGAAACATTATTCAATGAAAATATTGCCGAAACCTTAGTATTTCTCTTCGACAAATACTTTAACACATTGTGAACCACTTTTCTTTCACGACTATAAAAAGATTTTAGCAATTTAATACACAAAATCAATTGCGCACATTTAAAATAAAGTTTGTTTACACTTTGACAGCAATAGACTGACATGCAAGGTGACATATCAATGAAGTTTTCAGTTACTGTTGCCATTAAAAGAAATTAGTACCATTAGTTTCCCGCAACATGGCGAGGGTTTTTATGTTCCTGGTCGGGCTATAATAATATTGTCACCTTTAGAGCGATAGAGCGTGCTATGCTCGGAAATTCCCTGCGTGATGAAATGAGATCCACAGGAAAACCAAAACTGACTTAGCCTGCAGAATTGCTAAACTCAAGTAGGAGAGGGCGGGGCACATGACTCTTAGATAGAACTGATGGCCGTTGCGACGATCTCGGACCGCTGTAGGTAGGTCTCCTACTCGACTTAACTCGACGGACCGACGATTTAGTGAAGGCCGTGGAAAGTGGCAACCCAGCTACGGTTGTTGTGGAAAATCAGTTGCAACTGCTCGAGCGGTTCGTGTATGTGCGTCCATAGAACTGCAGTTCACTGTGCAGTCACAGCTTGAATCACTGTGCAGTCACAGCTTGAAGCTGTCGACCCTGACTGCTTCAAGCGGTCCGTGTATTGCCGACCTTATTCGGTCTCAAGTAAGGGCAGTATTCACAAACGATGCTTGCTTATGTGAAGCAGCAAATCAAACGCACGGCGTTGAATTTAGGTCTGTGCAATCACAGTTACAGTTACACGAACCAATGTTCGTGTGTCACCCTGCGTCCACGCGCACTGTGAGACCTCATAGTAATGTTTGTGAATACGGGCGTTAATTTAAACTTTTCGCTCCCAGGTCGTCATTCAGCGAGTTCTCATCGAAACACGGGCGCGACGACCGCTTCAAAGCCATCGAGAAGCCGCGCGACCGGACGACCTACTTCAACGAGTACATCGCCGAGCTGCGCAAGAAAGAGAAGGAGGATAAGGAGAGGAAGAGAGAGCAGGTGAGTGGCAGCAACGTGCGGGGGGCGGGACGGGGCAGGCGGGGCGTTTGCCGGAGGGGCGTGGCCTAATAAACGGGCGTGGCCTAATAAACAGTCTTGCAGGAAAGAGGTGTGGTTTAGACATAAAGGGGCGGGGTTTGAAAAAGGGCGTGGCGATACGTGACTGATTTGACGTGTTTCCTTTTTTTCTTTTATAGCCTAATGGCTTAAGATTGTGAACGCTACAATGTAACCTTATGGGTGATTAAATAAATAAATAAATAAGTAAAATCGACGCAGAATTCTCAAAGCTTCGACACAATGCACCAAATTCTAAGTTAAGTCGTTGACTGTCGAGACACAATACATAATAATTTTATTGCTCAAGGCTCACCGGCGAGCTGCGTGGCGTCCAACGTGTTAAAACTGTTAAAGGCTCTATTATCAAATAAATTAAATTTAATCTAGTCAAATAATAACACTGAAACAATGATTTTATGATTGATGAATGGCTTCCTGAGTTTTTTTTTCTCAATAAATATGTGACAAATTATTGATATCTCTCGATAACGTTACATTTGCATTGCACTGTTTCATTTGCCTACACTCTTGTGCGTTCACGAACAGTAATGATAAATTAACCAGCATTGTCTAAGTATTTTTATAACTTCAAATTCAAATTCAAAACTTTGTCCCAACTGGGATTTGAACTCAGGCCCTTGTAAAAAGGAGTTTACATTACCATGATGAAATACGTCATCAGAATGTCACTGTCAACCATGTCTACCTAAATAAATTAGTAATCAAATAAACTAGTGAAATATATCCAACGGCAAACACCTTCGTCCAATACTATCTAATGCTGATTATTGATTTATAATAGTGTAAATTAAAGATGATTCTTATAATTCAGCTACAAAGGATTACGCTCCGTTAAAAAAAAAAACTAATAAGTTTTTATTTAATTGTTATTTTGTTCTGTCAACTCCAGCCGTTTGGTCTGTGGACAGAATCTTTATTTGTTTCATTTTAAATTGTTAGATGAGAAAAATGATGAATGAATGAATGGTCAATATGGAAATCATTTTAGGAGGCATTATGTTCAGTGGACATACTGTAACTGAAATGATTGTGATGAAGATAATAATCCAAAACCAACGACACCATGCTGAGTGGATACCTTTTCAGTATCATTGTAATTACCTACTCATTAAATAATTTTAAGTGTTGTAAGTGTATTGTCGATGATACTGAATAAACGTTTTTCTTTCTTTCTTTCAAAACCAATCACAGGTTAAATCTACGACTGAGATTAAATCGAGTTTAGAGCGATGTTATCTACTGTACCATTTTTGACTTTTTGGTAAATGGTGTAAAAAATTAAGATGGCCAAAACCTACTTTAGCACATTATAACACATGAATAACTATTTATTATGGATTGCAGACAGTGGTGACTTGAGTTTGTAGCGGCGCTTTTTTGCCAAATGATTGTCTCGAAGCGCTGGTAGGGAAAAAAAGTAATGAGACTTGTAAAGGCTCCTTAAGGGCATTTGACGATTTGTAAATAGTAATTTTATTATTCCAGATAAATGAAAACATTTTTGATTTGATTTGAACAGATATTATATTTTAACTATTAAAACTGAGCCTCATCCTTTGCAGTGGTGGATATTTGCAACGCATTTTGATATTCTCATATTTATAATTGGTAGAAATGCTTAACCGTATATAATTCTAATAATCTTACATTTCAGGTGTTATTATTCTTTGTCAATTTAGTCCAGTTCGATTCTGGTTGAATTGACAAAATGGAGGAGATATTTTGTTTCAAAATTTTGTCCATTTTCATCAATAATACATTTCATGTTTTGTTGAAAGAAATGTTTAAAAAAATACTTGGGTTCGATCCCCAAATGTTAGTTAATTTAATCTATTTTTTTATTATCACCCATTTTGGCTATTAAAGTTTTTATAATAATAAAAAATAGGGTTGTTGACACCAGGAGTTTGAAATGAGGGTAGTTGATACCAACAGTCAATTGACTTACTTTTAATGAGCTCTCAAATGGTCTCTGCCATAGATTTTGAATGGCAAGAGGAAGCTATGTCGTCATCTTTTCTATTTATTGATTTTAAACCTATATAAAATCTAATTATGCAGTAAATTGAACCTTTTTTCGATTGTCAGGACTTCTGTTTTTTTTTTTTTAAGAATTTGTGTCTTAGTAATTGTTGGTGTCAACTACCCAAAGGCGAAGCAATTAAAAAGAAAAAGAGTTATAAGCTATATGGGTTCGATTCCCATACTTAATATCTGATAAATTAAAAAAGAAACTCATTCAGGTTCGACCCCTGAAAGAAAAAAAAATAGATTGTCAAAAGTTTGCTTGCGATTTTGAAACTTATTGCATTGCGAGAAGTTCTTTTTCCATTTGATATATTTAAGATTTGAATGACTTGACCATTAGTTAAAGCCTTTTTGTCTGTGACATCAACTAAAAAAGAAAATAATTTGAAAATTTTGAATTTAGAATTCGTATTTTTTTATTAGTTCATGTCAAAGGCTTAACAACTGTATTTCTTTGTGATTTTTTGCACTAAAATGATTTATTTTTAATTGAAAAATCACTTTATCCAACCTGTTTTGTCTTTAATAACGGCGAGCGTGTCTCCTGGTCGAACGTTTACATATTAATCGATAATCGAGTCTAATTCCTTCATATTAAGGATTTATTTTGCTTTTTGAGTTCATTAACAAAGTCCTTAAAAAAAAGGCTAGTTAGCGCAGCGCTATGCGAATTTAGGGGTCTCTCTATTTAAGAAAATAGGTAATTTTTAAGATACTACTAAAGTTTCAAATTAACAATAACAGATGGCGATCATACGCGTTATTCAAAACAACTCTATCCTAATACAAATAAGGTCGACTATTGCTTGCGTATAACAAACCGCTAAACGTACGAGTTTTTTGCACGGTTCAGCGCGACCACAAGACACGCTCAGCCCGCGTTAACAGCACATGAGTCGGAATCGCAATCGGAACGCCGGGGCGGCGCCGGCCGGCGGCGTGGCGCGCGCTCCGATGGAACTGCTACGGTGACTATCTTGTTATAAAAGGGACGGGTTGCCAGATGTGCTCGGGTAACAGCTAATTTTCATAGTGAACTGTACTATACGATAAACATGTCAGTCAATTTGACAACCTTTGTCGGAAACATTATTCAATGAAAATATTGCCGAAACCTTAGTATTTCTCTTCGACAAATACTTTAACACATTGTGAACCACTTTTCTTTCACGACTATAAAAAGATTTTAGCAATTTAATACACAAAATCAATTGCGCACATTTAAAATAAAGTTTGTTTACACTTTGACAGCAATAGACTGACATGCAAGGTGACATATCAATGAAGTTTTCAGTTACTGTTGCCATTAAAAGAAATTAGTACCATTAGTTTCCCGCAACATGGCGAGGGTTTTTATGTTCCTGGTCGGGCTATAATAATATTGTCACCTTTAGAGCGATAGAGCGTGCTATGCTCGGAAATTCCCTGCGTGATGAAATGAGATCCACAGGAAAACCAAAACTGACTTAGCCTGCAGAATTGCTAAACTCAAGTAGGAGAGGGCGGGGCACATGACTCTTAGATAGAACTGATGGCCGTTGCGACGATCTCGGACCGCTGTAGGTAGGTCTCCTACTCGACTTAACTCGACGGACCGACGATTTAGTGAAGGCCGTGGAAAGTGGCAACCCAGCTACGGTTGTTGTGGAAAATCAGTTGCAACTGCTCGAGCGGTTCGTGTATGTGCGTCCATAGAACTGCAGTTCACTGTGCAGTCACAGCTTGAATCACTGTGCAGTCACAGCTTGAAGCTGTCGACCCTGACTGCTTCAAGCGGTCCGTGTATTGCCGACCTTATTCGGTCTCAAGTAAGGGCAGTATTCACAAACGATGCTTGCTTATGTGAAGCAGCAAATCAAACGCACGGCGTTGAATTTAGGTCTGTGCAATCACAGTTACAGTTACACGAACCAATGTTCGTGTGTCACCCTGCGTCCACGCGCACTGTGAGACCTCATAGTAATGTTTGTGAATACGGGCGTTAATTTAAACTTTTCGCTCCCAGGTCGTCATTCAGCGAGTTCTCATCGAAACACGGGCGCGACGACCGCTTCAAAGCCATCGAGAAGCCGCGCGACCGGACGACCTACTTCAACGAGTACATCGCCGAGCTGCGCAAGAAAGAGAAGGAGGATAAGGAGAGGAAGAGAGAGCAGGTGAGTGGCAGCAACGTGCGGGGGGCGGGACGGGGCAGGCGGGGCGTTTGCCGGAGGGGCGTGGCCTAATAAACGGGCGTGGCCTAATAAACAGTCTTGCAGGAAAGAGGTGTGGTTTAGACATAAAGGGGCGGGGTTTGAAAAAGGGCGTGGCGATACGTGACTGATTTGACGTGTTTCCTTTTTTTCTTTTATAGCCTAATGGCTTAAGATTGTGAACGCTACAATGTAACCTTATGGGTGATTAAATAAATAAATAAATAAGTAAAATCGACGCAGAATTCTCAAAGCTTCGACACAATGCACCAAATTCTAAGTTAAGTCGTTGACTGTCGAGACACAATACATAATAATTTTATTGCTCAAGGCTCACCGGCGAGCTGCGTGGCGTCCAACGTGTTAAAACTGTTAAAGGCTCTATTATCAAATAAATTAAATTTAATCTAGTCAAATAATAACACTGAAACAATGATTTTATGATTGATGAATGGCTTCCTGAGTTTTTTTTTCTCAATAAATATGTGACAAATTATTGATATCTCTCGATAACGTTACATTTGCATTGCACTGTTTCATTTGCCTACACTCTTGTGCGTTCACGAACAGTAATGATAAATTAACCAGCATTGTCTAAGTATTTTTATAACTTCAAATTCAAATTCAAAACTTTGTCCCAACTGGGATTTGAACTCAGGCCCTTGTAAAAAGGAGTTTACATTACCATGATGAAATACGTCATCAGAATGTCACTGTCAACCATGTCTACCTAAATAAATTAGTAATCAAATAAACTAGTGAAATATATCCAACGGCAAACACCTTCGTCCAATACTATCTAATGCTGATTATTGATTTATAATAGTGTAAATTAAAGATGATTCTTATAATTCAGCTACAAAGGATTACGCTCCGTTAAAAAAAAAAACTAATAAGTTTTTATTTAATTGTTATTTTGTTCTGTCAACTCCAGCCGTTTGGTCTGTGGACAGAATCTTTATTTGTTTCATTTTAAATTGTTAGATGAGAAAAATGATGAATGAATGAATGGTCAATATGGAAATCATTTTAGGAGGCATTATGTTCAGTGGACATACTGTAACTGAAATGATTGTGATGAAGATAATAATCCAAAACCAACGACACCATGCTGAGTGGATACCTTTTCAGTATCATTGTAATTACCTACTCATTAAATAATTTTAAGTGTTGTAAGTGTATTGTCGATGATACTGAATAAACGTTTTTCTTTCTTTCTTTCAAAACCAATCACAGGTTAAATCTACGACTGAGATTAAATCGAGTTTAGAGCGATGTTATCTACTGTACCATTTTTGACTTTTTGGTAAATGGTGTAAAAAATTAAGATGGCCAAAACCTACTTTAGCACATTATAACACATGAATAACTATTTATTATGGATTGCAGACAGTGGTGACTTGAGTTTGTAGCGGCGCTTTTTTGCCAAATGATTGTCTCGAAGCGCTGGTAGGGAAAAAAAGTAATGAGACTTGTAAAGGCTCCTTAAGGGCATTTGACGATTTGTAAATAGTAATTTTATTATTCCAGATAAATGAAAACATTTTTGATTTGATTTGAACAGATATTATATTTTAACTATTAAAACTGAGCCTCATCCTTTGCAGTGGTGGATATTTGCAACGCATTTTGATATTCTCATATTTATAATTGGTAGAAATGCTTAACCGTATATAATTCTAATAATCTTACATTTCAGGTGTTATTATTCTTTGTCAATTTAGTCCAGTTCGATTCTGGTTGAATTGACAAAATGGAGGAGATATTTTGTTTCAAAATTTTGTCCATTTTCATCAATAATACATTTCATGTTTTGTTGAAAGAAATGTTTAAAAAAATACTTGGGTTCGATCCCCAAATGTTAGTTAATTTAATCTATTTTTTTATTATCACCCATTTTGGCTATTAAAGTTTTTATAATAATAAAAAATAGGGTTGTTGACACCAGGAGTTTGAAATGAGGGTAGTTGATACCAACAGTCAATTGACTTACTTTTAATGAGCTCTCAAATGGTCTCTGCCATAGATTTTGAATGGCAAGAGGAAGCTATGTCGTCATCTTTTCTATTTATTGATTTTAAACCTATATAAAATCTAATTATGCAGTAAATTGAACCTTTTTTCGATTGTCAGGACTTCTGTTTTTTTTTTTTTAAGAATTTGTGTCTTAGTAATTGTTGGTGTCAACTACCCAAAGGCGAAGCAATTAAAAAGAAAAAGAGTTATAAGCTATATGGGTTCGATTCCCATACTTAATATCTGATAAATTAAAAAAGAAACTCATTCAGGTTCGACCCCTGAAAGAAAAAAAAATAGATTGTCAAAAGTTTGCTTGCGATTTTGAAACTTATTGCATTGCGAGAAGTTCTTTTTCCATTTGATATATTTAAGATTTGAATGACTTGACCATTAGTTAAAGCCTTTTTGTCTGTGACATCAACTAAAAAAGAAAATAATTTGAAAATTTTGAATTTAGAATTCGTATTTTTTTATTAGTTCATGTCAAAGGCTTAACAACTNTGATGAATTGCTTCCTATGAGTTTTTTTCTCAATAAATATGTGACAAATTTTATTGATATCTCTCGATAACGTTACATTTGCATTGCACTGTTTCATTTGCCTACACTCTTGTGCGTTCACGAAAAGTAATGATAAATTAACCAGCATTGTCCAAGTATTTTTATAACTTCAAATTCAAAACTTTGTCCCAACTGGGATTTGAACCCAGGCCCTTGTAAAAAGGAGTTTACATTACCATGATGAAATACGTCATCAGAATGTCACTGTCAACCATGTCTACCTAAATAAATTAGGTAATCAAATAAACTAGTGAAATATATCCAACGGCAAACACCTTCGTCCAATACTATCTAATGCTGATTATTGATTTATAATAGTGTAAATTAAAGATGATTCTTATAATACAGCTACAAAGGATGACGCTCCGTTTCGTTAATTGTAATCAAACAGTATTTTTCGTATTTTCTTGATAGTTTAGATAATAATATATTTTATCACTAGCTTTCCGCCCGCGGCTTCGCCCGCGTGGAATTTTGTCTGTCACAGAAAAACTTTATCGCGTGCGTCCCTGTTTCAAAAACCGGAATAAAAACTATCCTATGTCTTTTCCCGAGACTCAAACTATCTCTATGCCAAATTTCATCAAAATCGCTTTAGTGGTTTAGGCGTGAAAGCAAGACAGACATAGTTACTTTCGCATTTATAATATTAGTATAGATAACGACTAACTGGACTGGCCTGACGAGCTCATAAAGTTAGCAGGAAGGCGCTGGATGCAGGTCGCTACCAAGTGATTATGGAAATCATTGGGGGAGGCCTATGTTCAGCAGTGAACGTCCTGTGGCTGAAATGTTGATAATGATGATCGCCTGTGTGGATTATTTTTTTACAATAAAACTTAAGTTTAAAACTCAATAACTTATTATGGCCTTAATGTTAACCTCTTGTATAAATTTTGTAATGTTTTATCAAAATCCGTTTATTAGTTTTTGCGTGAACAAGTAAAATAAACATTCTATTGATAGGTTAAATTGAGATATTTTAACCAATCAGATGACAGCATCTATAAATATAGATTTGAGTGTTGTTTAGTATTACTGAATTTTGAGCTTTCTTAGAACTTTATTTTTAGGAACAAAAATGAGTCCTCTACGAATTATTACATTTTAAAAATAATAATTTTGAAAACAGAGCCTCATCCTTTGTATTAGTGGATATTTGCAACGCATTTTGATATTCTCATATTTATAATTGGTAGGCATGCTTAACCGTGTATAATTCTAATAACCTTACTTTTCAGATGTTATTATTCTTTGTCAATTTAGTCCAGTTCGATTCTGGTTGAATTGATAAAATGGAGGAGGTGTTTTGTTTCAAAATTTTGTCAATTTTCATCAATGTTTTGTTGAAAGAAATGCTTAAAAAATACTTGGGTTCGATCCCCAAATGTTAGTTAATTTCATATATTTTTTTATTATCACCCATTTTGGCTATTAAAGTTTTTATAAAAAAAAAAATAGGGTTGTTGACACCAAGAGTTTGAAATGAGGGTAGTTGACACCAACAATCAATTGAGATATTTTTAATGGGCTGTCAAATGGTCTCTGCCATAGATTTTGAATGGCAAGAGGAAGCTATGTCGTCATCTTTTCTATTTAATGATTTTAAAGTTACATAAAATCGAATTATGCAGTAAATTGAACCTATTTTCGATTGTCAGGACTTGTCTGTTTTTTAAAAGAATTTGTGTCTTAGTAATTGTTGGTGTCAACTACCTAAAGGCGAAGTAACTTGAAAAAAAAAAAAGTTATTAGCTGTATGGGTTCGATTCCCATGCTTAATATCTGATAAATTAAAAAAAAACCCATTCAGGTTCGACCCCTGAAAGAAAAAAAAAATAGATTGTCAAAAGTTTGCTTGCGATTTTGAAACTTATTGCATTGCGAGAAGTTCTCTTTTCATTTTGATATATTTAAGATTTGAATGACTTGACCATTAGTTAAAGCCTTCTTTTGTCTGTGACATAAACTAAAAAAGAAAATAATTTGAAAAATTGAATTTAGAATTTGTATTTTTTTTTATTAGTTCATGTCAAAGGCATAACAATTGTATTTCTTTGTGATTTTTTGCACTAAAATGATTTATTTTTAATTGAAAAATCACTTTATCCAACCTGTTTTTGTCTTTAATAACGGCGAGCGTGTCTCCTGGTCGAACGTTTACATATTAATCGATAATCGAGTCTAATTCCTTCATATTTAGGATTTATTTTGCTTTTTGAGTTCATTAACAAAGTCCTTAAAAAAAAGGCTAGTTAGCGCAGCGCTATGCGAATTTAGGGGTCTCTCTATTTAAGAAAATAGGTAATTTTTAAGATACTACTAAAGTTTCAAATTAACAATAACAGATGGCGATCATACGCGTTATTCAAAACAACTCTATCCTAATACAAATAAGGTCGACTATTGCTTGCGTATAACAAACCGCTAAACGTACGAGTTTTTTGCACGGTTCAGCGCGACCACAAGACACGCTCAGCCCGCGTTAACAGCACATGAGTTGGAATCGCAATCGGAACGCCGGGGCGGCGCCGGCCGGCGGCGTGGCGCGCGCTCCGATGGAACTGCTACGGTGACTATCTTGTTATAAAAGGGACGGGTTGCCAGATGTGCTCGGGAAATAAAATAATCGAAGAGAAAAAGAAAACGCGAGAAAAGAAAAAAAATAGTGAATTTAGGTGTTGAAATTGTGTAAAAGAAATTAAAAAAATTTGGAATTAATCGCGAGAATAGTAAAAAAAAAAGAATTGTTGCTAAATTGTATAAAATAAATAACGAAAACAAAAAAAAAACCGCGAGAAAAGTAAACAAAATACGAATTATTGCAAAAAAAAAGGTAAAAGAAACAAAAGAAAAGATTAAATGTGAAATTAAGGACAGAATTGAATAAAAACTTGTACGGTACGATAAAAAGAAAATGATTGTACAATAGTCGAATTATATGAAATAACGAAGTCTCATAACAAAAAAGCTAAATATTAAAAACTACTAAAATAATTATTCAGATGAAACTAGGGCGAATAAATAATGAAACATAGTTTATTTTCACTTGTGAAGGTCGGCGGTCGAATTAAATCTAAAATGGCCATCTGGCAACCCTAGCGGTAAGGCCGTCTGAACGAAGGAGTCTCCTTAGGGATAACTAATCTAAAAACAAAAAAAAAACACGTAAAAAACAATACGGTCCTATTTTTTAAAGTATTGTCATCTTTTTGAGAGAACATGAAACATTCGAAAATGAAATTAATGTCAATGAATAAACGAATAAAATTGGAAACCTTCTCATTCTGTTGAAGTCGAAAAAAAAACTTTTTTTTATTATACCATAGCTCGTAAAAACACCGTTAATATTCAGTCAAAAATATATATTTATTTCGCGTAATTTCCTGGTTATAATTAAATAATAAAAAATAGTTTAAAAAACAATAAATAAATAAATAAACGTACAGGAGACTTCTAACTTTAGACGGCGATCGCAAGCGTCGACGAGACGTCCCCAATACATGGTAAATGGTCAACGAACACAACCGTCAGTCCCCGAGAGAACACCTCGATATACAGGGTGTTGGAGAAACTGGGATGTCTTTGAAAGTCTATTAAATACCAGCTGCTAAGGCAGCTAGTAAAATAAAGATATAATTATGGTAATTTGGGGTAATGCTGGTATTACACTATTAATTTCCAGTTTTTTATTCACTGTTTTACGTTGACAATTTTATTTTTAAATTTTCTGTCAGTTTTGACGTATCTCCTTTTGTAAATATGACAGTATATCGCAATTTTGTGACGCACTTTCAAGGACAATCTAGTTTTTTTGAACAGCCTGTATAATGTAAAATATTAAACGAAAAAGTAAATGATTGTGTTGTGTGTAAAGCATGAAATTTTTGGATATTTTTGAGTAAACATTTTGATTTTGTCAGTATGTATTACACAAAAAATATTATTATTATTATTCTTTTTTTAATTGTCATGATAATAAATTAATAGATAACATATTTTAGTCTGTTATGGAAGGCAAATGGATGATTGGTCTACGCTCCCCAATTCATATGTTACTTACAAACCAAGGGTAGCTTGTATAGCGACGGGGGAAAAGATAAATAATTAAATACCCATGAAAAGATTTGCCTCTTGTTGGATTCGAAGCCAAAAAATAAAATACAAACAAAATAAAATACTCGTATCAAAGTGTACTCTAGTGCTAGACGAGTGCAACCTTCAAGATAATAAAAAATGTATTTGATATGTACACACTGACCATTACATTTTGTGCTTTACACTAAACATAAGAGGCCTAAAACACATAAATTAACAGGCCCAAGCCATTGGTGGCGATTCCATTGTACCATTCTTTAAACTAAATTTATTTTTGACCTCTTTTTAGTTTGTAAAAAATACTTTATACTGAATTTACAAATCTGTTCTTGTTGTTTTGGCATAGATACTCAATCGAAATTTATTTGTTTCTAACTTTATGGATGCTAAATTTGACAGCTCTGTGCCGTCCTTTTCGATTCGTAAACGAGAAAAAAAGACAGCCAGTTTGCTCGAGTGTTGCAAGAGAATCGTCACCAGTGTTGCCAATTGAGAAAACTTTATATTCAAGCTTTGCAGTAATTAGAAATGCATAAATTGCATGCTTATGGCATTCTGCCAAGAAGCTTGAAGATAGGTGATGGTTTCTATATTGTTTTAACTACTAATCAAATTTTCTTCCAGGTTCTTATATTTTTTGTGTTTATTCCCGTGCGCAAATATTTTTCTTTGAATAATGGTCAGTGGTTTTGGTATTTATACATTTTGGGCCTTATTCTTTTGGGGTAAAGTTGAATGTGTATTACTCTGCTAATGATTGGTTTTTGTTTAAAAATGAGAGAATAGAAAAATCTTTGCGTACACAATATTACATGAAAAAGTTTAAAGATTAAATTCAAAGTAAATTTTGAACGAATACAGATTGTCAAATGTAAATTTTGAGATTTTAAATGAAAGAGTAAAGTAAATTTTTTGTTTACGCAAAAACGGGAATTAAAATCGTGCTTGGACTTAGATATGTTTTCGAGTTTAATTTGAGGCAGAAATTTGACTTTTAAGCCCGAAATGTTTCTTTTTACTATTTTTATCAGTTGTTGTCAATTTTCTGAATCAAATTAAATCAGGATGAGTGACAAGCTGACATACAGTCAACATCAAATAGTTCATGACACCCAAAGTAGCCAAAAACGTCTTTGGTACAATTGGAATTAGGTTGTGTACTTTTTGACCAGTTTGTGTGTCACGAAATATTTGACACTTGACTGTGAGCATCAAACTTAGTTTCTTTCGCTACTTCTCAGCACTAATCAATGCTATCCCGAAGTGGTGGTAGGGCAAGCTATATACGGGGCGTGTATAAGTGCCTTAAAAAGGGGCTACATACTAATAAATTGTACTGCCTCAAAAATTTGATGTCTCAGAGAGCACGTTATTGCCATTCGGATCCAATGAGACATTTTAGACACATTAGATATCTCAGAAAAATCTGACATCAATATTGTGACCATAAGTAGAATTAGTGGACAATAACGTCGTGTAATTTTTAGTTTTGACAACGATTTGACGTCTGTCAAATAAGAAACATTACATAAAGCCGATTTTTTTTGGATGGCAATCATATGTATAACGTGTGTATCATCATCATCAGATCATTCAGTCTCCACTGCATGATCATGATTAATTTAAAAGACAAATGGAGGATTTGTCCTACACTCCCCACGCTGGCCAGACGGGTTGGGGAGGCCTGATGTTCGCATGTTTGTCCCTTAGGCCCAGAACAGACGGTGAAACGCAACTGCAANCACATGAGTCGGAATCGCAATCGGAACGCCGGGGCGGCGCCGGCCGGCGGCGTGGCGCGCGCTCCGATGGAACTGCTACGGTGACTATCTTGTTATAAAAGGGACGGGTTGCCAGATGTGCTCGGGTATTAAAAAGAACGAAAAGAAAAAAAAGCGAGAAAAAAGAAAAAAAAAATAGTGAATTTTTGGGAAATTGTGTAAAATAAATTAAAAAAGTTAGGAATAAACCGTGAGAAAAGTAAAAAAAAATAAGAATTGTTGCTAAATTGTATAAAATAAATAACGAAAACAAAAAAAAACCGTGAGAAAAGTAAAAAAATATACGAATTATTGCGAAAATATGTAAAAGAAACAAAAGAATTAAGATTAAATGTGAAATTAAGGACAGAATTGAATAAAAACTTGTACGGTGCGATAAAAAGAAAATGATTGTACAATAGTCGAATTATATGAAATAACGAAGTCTCATAACAAAAATGCTAAATATTAAAAACTACTAAAATAACTATTCAGATGAAACTAGGGCGAATAAACAATGAAACATAGTTTATTTTCACTTGTGAAGGTCGGCGGTCGAATTAAATCTAAAATGGCCATCTGGCAACCCTAGCGGTAAGGCCGTCTGAACGAAGGAGTCTCTTTAGGGATAACTAAACAAAAAACAAAAAAAAACACGTAAAAAACAATACGGTCCTATTTTTTAAAGTATCGTCATCTTTTTGAGAGAAAATTATTTAGTCGAATTTGAAACATTCGAAAATAAAATTACTTATTGATATTAAATCAATGAATAAACGAATATAATTGAGAACGTCTTTCCTTTTATTAAAGTCGGTTAAAAACTAAAAAAAAAATTTTTTTTTCGTAACAACACCGTTAATATTCAATCAAAAATCTATTATTTTCGCATAATTAACGCAAAAATAATTTAAAAAAACGTACAGGAGACTTCTAACTTTAGACGGCAATCGCAAGCGTCGACGAGACGTCCCCAATACATGGTAAATGGTCAACGAACACAACCGTCAGTCCCCGAGAGAACACCTCAATATACAGGGTGTTAGAGAATCTGGGATGTCTTTGAAAGTCAATTAAATACCAGCTGCTATAATGATAGCTGGTAAAAAAATAGAATATAACAATTTGAGAGGGTAATGCTGGTATTACTCTATTAATTTCCAGTTTTTCTCACCTTTTTACGTTGACGATTTTATCTAAAAAAAATCTTGTAAATATGACAGTATATCGCAATTTTGTGACACGCTTTCAAGGACAATCAAGTTTTTTTGAACAGCCTGTATAATGTAAAATATTAAACGAAAAAGTAAATGATTGTGTTGTGTGTAAAGCATGAAATTTTTTGGATATTTTGAGTTAAAAATTGTATTTGTCAGTGTGTGTTGTCTAAAAATTTAATTGTACCAAAAATATTGCACTGAGAAAAAAATACAAACATTTTATGCCATATTTTAGAAGAGTAGCTGTAACGCCCCTGGGACTGCGGGTGTCTATGGGCGACGGTAATCACTTAACATCAGGTGATCCGTCTGCTCGACTGCCTTCTGTCACATAAAAAAGACTTTGACAAAAAAATTGTCGATACAAGTAATAAAATAAAATAAGTATCATTACTCTTAGTATCATTTCTATTACTATTTGACAAAATATGTACGTTACCAAAAAAACTGATTCCAATTGTCGTGATCAATTGATCATTATTTGACCGAATCAAATGTCGGATTCGAAGCCGCAACCTAATTTAATAATAAAGTACACACTGACAAAACATTTTGTGCTTTACACTAAACATAAGAGGCCTAAAACACATAAATTAAAAGGCCAAGCCGTTGGTGGCGATTCCATTGTACCATTCTTTAAACTAAATTTATTTTTGACCTCTTTTTAGTTTGTAAAAAATACTTTATACTGAATTAAAAATCTATTCTGTCGTTTTGGCATAGATACTTCGAAATCTAAATTTATTTGTTTCTAACTTTATGGATGCTAAATTTGACAGCTATTTGACAGCTCTGTGCCGTCCTTTTCGATTCGCAAACGAGAAAAAAAGACAGCCAGCTTGCTCGAGTGTTGCAAGAGAATCGTCACCAGTGTTGCCAATTGAGAAAACTTTATATTCAAGCTTTGTAGTAATTAGAAATGCAAATTGCATGCTTATGGCATTCAGCCAAGAAGCTTGAAGTTAGGTGATGGTTTCTATATTGTTTTAACTACTAATCAAATTTTCTTCCAGGTTCTTATATTTTTTGTGTTTATTCCCGTGCGCAAATATTTTTCTTTTAATAATGGTCAGTGGTTTTGGTATTTATACATTTTGGACCTTACTCTTTTGTGGTAAGATTGAATGTGTATTACTCTGCTAATGATTTGATTTTGGTTTTGTAAAATTGAGTAGAAAAATCTTTGCGTACACAATATTACATGAAAAAGTTTAAAGATTAAATTCAAAGTGAATTTTGAGCAAATACAAATTGTCAAATGTAAATTTTGATATTTTAAATGAAAGAAAGTAAAGTATTTTTTTTGTTTACGCAAAAACGGGAATTTAAATCGTGCTTGGACCAAAGATATGTTTCGGAGTTTAATTTGAGGCAGTAATTTGACTTTTAAACCCGAAATGTTACTTTTTACGATTTTTATCATAATTGTCAATTTTCTGAATCAAATTAAACCATGATTATTGACAAGCTGACACACAGTCAACGTCAAATAGTCCGTGACACCCAAAGTAGCCAAAAAGTTCGCAACACATCTTTGGTACAATTGGAATAAGGTTGTGTACTTTTTGATCAGTTTGGGTGTCACGAAATATTTGACACTTGACTGTGCATCAAACTAAATTTCTTTCGCTATTTCTCAGCACTAATCAATGTTGTCCCGAAGTGGTGGTAGGGCAAGCTATATTTTGGACGTGTATAAGTGCCTTAAAAAGGGGCTACAACAAACTAATGAATTGTACTGCCTCATAAATTTATTGAAATGAAACGATTGAGACATTTCAGACACATTAGATATCTCAGAAAAATCTGACATCAATATTGTGACCATAAGTAGAATTTGTTGACAAAAACGTCGTGTAATTTTTTGTTTTGACAACGATTAGACGTCTTTCAAATAAGAAACATGGCCTAAAACCGATTTTTTTGGATGGCAATCATATGTATAACGTGGGTATCATCATCATCAGATCATTCAGTCTCCACTGCATGATTACGATTAATTTAAAAGACAAATGGAGGATTTGTCCTACACTCCCCACGCTGGCCAGACGGGTCGGGGAGGCCTGATGTTCGCATGTTTGTCCCTTAGGCCCAGAACAGACGGTGCGAACGCAACTGCGANAACTGCAACGAAACTGCAACTTTCTGATGATTCTGATGAATGAAACTGAAACTGAAAGTTTCAAACTGGTCGCGTCATGTGTGGTCTCTCAACGGACGCTATGACAGAAACTAAGATGCAACTCAAAAGTAACTTGCTGTTGCAGTTTCGTTGCAGTTGCGTTTCACCGTCTGTTCTGGGCCTTTGTCGCCTCTTACGACATCCAGGGGAAGTGTGGGACTTACTCCATCTTTAAAAAATATAAGAAATGATCATTAGTCCAAGCCAGATTATAGAATACCCTTTTTTGCGTAAAAGAATCATGCATTGCGAAAAGTAAAGAAATAAAGTAAATTATTAGAGTTGTTGATTGCAAAGAAAGATAATTAGAAATCAAAATGTAATGATATAGATTTACAAATAGGATTATGAAGGGAAATTAATATTACGGGCGAGTAACACATTGTTAGTTATATTCTACTTTAAAAGTGGTTGTTCTTAAACATTTTTTTTTTCAGTCAAGTATTATGTAGATGACATTATAATAAGTGACACATAGTGCTACAATATTCTGAAACGTCAAGTGGCAAAAATCGGAACTAATAACTCAGTATTGATAGTAGCACCCTCCTGTCAATGTCATATCTGAGAAACTTCAGTGTTGTCCAACTTTACGCTATATGGAAATGGAACATATTATTGTGGGAATGCATTCTAGTGATAAGACCTATAGTTTTGTAGTACACCAACATACGATTTTGAAATGGTGACTTGAGTTCCGACACTTCTTTTCAGCACCAGCACATAAGTGGTGGTAGGGCAAGCTATATTTGGGACGTGTACACAAGTGCCCTGGAAAGGGCCTAAGTTACTAATAAATATTTCAATTTTGATTTGATTTTAAAGATCACAAGAGGCCTATGTTCCAGCTATGGACTAGAACAACCACTAATATAAATAAAATAAATAAATAAATCTTTGGACAATTTCACACAGCGCCAGCTAGCCCCAAAGTAAGCAACTTAATGCTTGTGTTATGGGTGCTAGCTTAACGGATATACTACTTATATACTTTTTTTAAATACATACATATTATACATAGTAACACCCAGACCCGTCACAGAAATTAAAATTCATCATTTCAATTTCTGCCCGGCCGGGAATCGAACCCGGGACCTCTTGGCATAGTAGTCCGTTCTGAACCACTACACCAAACGGCAGACTAACTAATATGATTGTATCTTGAAAGACTACGCTCGTAATATTAGTTCCTCTTAGATTAAAGTCAATATTATAGGATGAAACGGCAAATGAGAGTCAATGTGTTGTGAAATCATTATAATACCATCATCAGGTCATTCAGTCTCCATTGCAGGAGCCTGACCCTCTAATTGACCAGAGGCAAATGGAGGATTTGTCCTACACTCCCCACGCTGGCCAGACTGGTTGGGGAGGCCTGATGTTCATACATTTGTCCCTTTTGTTGGATTATATCTTCTGAAATAGTAGGAGTGGACCTGTTTCGGTCTGCCAAAAACTTCTTTTTTTCTCAGCCAAATGACTTCCATTTGACAAAGGCCTTCCCTAAAGATTTCCACAACCAGATCGTCCGTTCACCTAAAATTATAAGGCGTGACAACAGTTTGAAAATTCTTCCCCGTTTTTGCTACGTTTTTCATTGTTGCTCCGTTTTTCTATTGGTTGCAGCCTGAAGTCTTCTTTTATAAATGGGCTATCCATCACAGAAATAATTTTTCAAATCGTACCATTAGTTCCTGAAATTAGCGCGTTCAAAGAAACAAACTCTTCAGCTTCATAATAATAGCTACTAGACTAGCTTTCGCCCCGTTAATTCGTTCTGTCACAAAATGTCTTATATCAATATTCTGTAGCCGATAGCTTTTGTTCATCAGAAATAATGTAAGATTCTAATGGTGAAAGAATTTTTAAAATAGGTCCACTAGTTTCGGAGCCTATTCAATTCAAACAAACATTCAAATCTTTCCTCTTTATAATATTAGTATAGATCCGATACATCGACTCTCAGGCCGCTACTAATCAATAATTTCTTTCAGGGATTAATGAAAATTTTCTTCCACAGATGCTAATATACCGTTCTTCTTTTCAGCTGCTAATCCGCGCGTTTTTTTTTTTCAGGTTTAATTTAGTGCTGCACGATTATACGGCGCGGTCGGTCGTTGCTATGCGGTTGCTAAGCGAGTTTTTAAGTAGGTGGGGTCGCCATTTTGTTGAAACATATAAACAAAATAAGATCCTCCTCCCTTTTGAAAAAAAAAAAGGAATTAAGTTTAAATATTCACCAAAAGAATGCAAAAGTATGTCTAGGCTGTTTAAAATAAATTAAAAAAGTAAAGTTGAAAAATAATGGTTTTAAAGTTTCTAAGCATATCATAATTAATCTTTAGTCGCGTTTAAAATGTTGAAAATGATCTGTAAACAGTAAAAATAATGAATAATAAAAAGATACAATACAATTGTGGTCAAATACCTGCATTGTTATGCATAAAAAAAAAGTATTTTGTCATAGAATAAATATTTGATGCTTCTATTGTTACATGAAATATAACTTTTCAAGTATTTTATTATAGTCTTATGATTAATTGAACACAAAAATAAAAGTATGTAAAAACTTTTATCAATATTTTTAAAATCTATCTCTAAATCAACGTTCCTAATCAATCACACATTTAATTCTATTATTAAAATAATGTTTCATCAAACCAATATAAAGAAAAACATCCCCAAACTCACAAATACAAAAACAAAATGGTCACCACCACCTTACCCCTCAACCAACCACCGACCGCGCCCCCCCAACTGCCTCAAACCACTACGACCCCTAAAATACGCCCCTTTTCTAGGTCAAGGTGGACTTCATAGCGCTCCTCAAGGAGAAGGCGGTGGACCGCCACGCGCGGTACCCCGAGGTCAAGAAGAAGATTGACAGCGACGCCCGGTATAAGGCGGTGGAGAGCAGCTCCGTTAGAGAAGACTACTTCAGGGAGTATTGCAAGCTGGTGAAGGAAGAGAGGAAGAAAGAGAAAGATGGGAAGGAGAAGGGTGAGTTGATATCATCATCATCATCATCATCATCTCAGCCATAGGACGTCCACTGCTGAACATAGGCCTCCCCCAATGCTTTCCATGTCGCCCGGTTGGTAGCGGCCTGCGTCCAGCGCTTTCCCGCTACCTTTACGATGTCGTCCATCCACCTTGTAGGTGGACGTCCCACGCTGCATTTTCCGGTACGCGGCCTCCACTCCAGAACCTGGCTGCCCCATCGGCCGTCAGTTCTGCGTACTATGTGCACTGCCCATTGCCACTTCAGCTTGCTAATCCGTCGAGCTATGTCAGCGACTTTAGTTCGTTTACGGATTTTCGTTACTTTGATATGATTCGTTGATATTGACACTAGCTATTGCCTTAATTTCGGTCTGTCACAGAAATACCTTATAGCACTTGTGTCCCCCTTTCAACATCGAGATTTTTTAAAATGTGACAGGAAGCAAACGAGCAGACGGGATAAAATTATCTTATTTGGGGTGGATTCGACCAGAGTAAATATTAATCTCTGAATAAATCGTCAGTTTTGACATATATTTTCTATACTGACACTGTCAATGTGCCAGTTATACCAGGAGTTATACTCGGATAAAGGTCTGGTCGAATCGGGCCTAACACAAGCATATTAGTTGCTTACTTTGGGGCAAGATGGCGCTGTGTGAAATTGTCCAAAGATATTTATTTTTCATCAAAATTCGTTCATTAGTTTTTGCATGAAAGAAACATTCATCTATCCACCTTCACAATCATTTTAATTTTTAATATTAGTCATCATTTCAGCCACATGACGTCCACTGCTGAACATAGGCCTCCCCCAAATCCTCCCTTTAATATTTTAACATGTATTGCTATTGCCGCTATAACACAATTCCTAAAAATGGAATAAAAATACAAGAATTATTAGGAATAGGACAACTTTTGAGATAGTATAGCCATTCATAAATTTTTCCATCTTATTTTTTTTATATTAAAATAATTAATTTTACTCCAAACTGAAGAGCTGCAATTTGCATTAAGATCTGGTTGCTGTCCCCTGGTATTCTGGTATAATACTATACGTGCCGATTCACACTTGATCGTTTAATAATAATTTCATAATTAAATGTGTATAAGTATGACCTTATCATTACCTATTCCAGCGGAGCGAGCCGACCGCAGCAGCAAGAAAGATAAGAAAGACAAGGACCGCGACAAGGACAAGGATAAGGAGCGAGCGAGCGACAAGGACGGCAAGAAAAAGAAGGAGAAGGCGGAGGTAAGTGATTCACACTAAATGAGGGCTATCGTTTTACCGCTCACCAGTTGGCGCCACTGTAGAGTAAGGTCCTGTCACTTGCTAGTCGCGAAGACAGTGGCGCCAGCTGGTGAGCGCGAAAGTGGTAGGAGGACTATCGCATTTGCACTCATCAAGATGGCGCCACTGTAGAGTAAGGTCCTGTCACTTGCTAGTAGCGAAGACAGTGGCGCCAGCTGGTGAGCGCGAAAGTGGTAGGAGGACTATCGCATTTGCACTCATCAAGATGGCGCCACTGTAGAGTAAGGTCCTGTCAATCGCCAGGGGTGCCAACTGTTAGGTAAAAAAACGATAGCCCTCATTACACCTTGATCGTGTACACATACAGTGCAATTTCCATTGGGGCATATCTTGCCGGTACAAATTCGTTTTTTGCTATTTGGTGTTCGACCAATTCGCTAATACGTCCTTTACCCCAAATACAATTTTAAATTTCGTGGTCATACATGGTGTGGTTTTGTAAAACAACACCCATCTTAGGGGTGGTACACATGAAAGTAATTACAAGAGAAATATAAATAAAATTTTTACTATTACTTTAAAACCAAGAAACCTTGTTCAAACGTCTCCTAAAACTTTCGAGACGGCGCTTGTTACCGCCCGCACCACCCCCGCGTGCCCCGCTACACCACCGATTTTTTCAATGAAAATTTAAAATATTTCACTTTATTTTTTTTTTTGGCATCAATGTCGTGTCTACTACCACCTTAGATGGGCGTTGTTTTACAAAACCACACCCTGTATATTCTTCTTTCAGATCAGCTCTCTTTTACTGTACCGTATCTGTAGACAATATTACATCTATTGTAAATTCGATACCGTATTCTCTTCGCTCGGTTCCCAACGTACAATTGATACTCTATTTACCCATTCATTATGTTAAACAAAATAAATTTTGCCTCTGGTCAATTGAAGGGGTGCGCCAAAGTTCACCTAAATTTTCAATTATTAAAGTTGTTGATTGCAAAGAGAATAATTAGAAATCAAAATGTAATGAAATAGATTTACAAATAGGATTATGAAGGGAAATTAATATTACGGGCTAGTAGCATGTTAAATTATCTACTTTAAAAATGGTTGTTCTCTTAAATATAACTATATTTAGTTCAGTGTTAGACACACGCTATATGAATCCCATATGAGATCTATCGTTTCTTAGTACAGTCACCGTCAAATAGTGCGTGACACCCAAAGTGGCCAAAAAGTTGGCAACACAACCTTATTCCAATGAGGGTTTTCGCGATTTAAAAATCCGCCAGATGGCGGGACGTGGATGTAGGGTCTGACTGCTGCGTGATTAGTGGATTTTGACATATCTGTCAATGTCACGTCAAAAATAACCAATCATGCAGCATTTGGACCTCGCGTCTACGTATTGCCATCTAGCGGATTTTTCAATGGCGAAAACCCTCATTGTAACAAAGCCGTGTTGCGAACTTTTTGGCTACTTTGGGTGTCACGAACCATTTGTCGTTGACTGTGCAGCTTATGATATTAAAATACCATAGATTTTGAATCGTAATGTAAGGGAGTAAGATTCAAAATTAATTGGAAAAATTGATCATTTTGTGGCAGCTTAATGTGGTGTCCCAATTTTGGGACATGTATGAGTGCCCTGTATAGAGTCATCATACTTGTTAAATAAATAAGGCGAACTTGAATGCCATAGTGGCATTGTGTCAACCTCTGTTAAACGGTCCAGTTTTCGTCCCTTGCCTCTCTAACTGACGTAACTGACATTTTGCAAAATTTTCAGGCGATTAGACAGATCGATTCGTCTTGTAAAATTGATTAAGATGGTGTAGATAACTCAGTTTGGAAAAAAATGTCAGATAAGTCAGTTAGACAGGCAAGCGACGTTTTATGCTGTTTTTAATTATAGTTATTTCTCAATCAGGTCAAGTGCCCTGGAAAAGGCCTAAGCATATAATTAATATTTCAATTTTGATTTGATTTTAAAGATCAAAAGAGGCCTATGTTCCAGCTATGGACTAGAACAACCACTAATATGATTGTATCTTGAAAGACTACGCTCGTAATATTAGTTCCTCTTAGATTAAAGTCAATATTATAGGATGAAACGGCAAATGAGAGTCAATGTGTTGTGAAATCAATATAATACCATCATCAGGTCATTCAGTCTCCACTACAGGAGCCTGACCCTCTAATTGACCAGAGGCAAATGGAGGATTTGTCCTACACTCCCCACGCAGGCCAGACGGGTTGGGGAGGCCTGATGTTCATACATTTGTCCCTTTTGTTGGATTATATCTTCTGAAATAGTGAGAGTGGACCTGTTTCGGTTTGCCAAAAACTTCTTTTTTTCTCAGCCAAACGACTGCCATTGGACAAAAGCCTTCCGTAAGGATTTCCACAACCAGATCATCCGTTCACCTAATCCATATGATTTTAGTATCAAATTATAAGGCGTGAAAACAGTATGAATGATCTTCCCTGTTTTCGAAAAGTTTTTCATTGTTGCTCCGCCACTTATTGGTCTTACCGTGATACCTGAAGCCTTGATAAATGGGCTATCCAGCACAGAAATAGTTTTTCACATTGGACCATTAATTCCTAAGTACGTTCAACCAAACTTTTCAGCTTTATAATATTATATCTACTAGCTGTGTCCGCGACTTCGTACGCGTGAAAATAGTTTGAATAACATTTCCCGTTTTTTTCTTTACTCCTCCGCCCCTATAGGCTGTAGGCTCCCGCGACCTTCACCAGATCGTCGGTCCACCTAATGCCCCACAGCTTTGGTAGTTTTATTCGACACCTCGACTCTCAGGCCGCTACTAATCAATCGTTTCTTTCAGGGACTAATGTCAATTTTCTTCCACAGGTGCTAATATACCGTTCTTCTTTTCAGCTGCTAATCCACGCGTTTTTTTTCAGGGTTAATTTAGTGCTGCACGATTATACGGCGCGGTCGGTCGTTGCTATGCGGTTGCTAAGCGAGTTTTTAAGTAGGTGGGGTCGCCATTTAGTTGAAAAATATAAACGAATTGAGATCCACTTCCCTTTTGAAAAAAAATGGAAATTAAGTGTAAATATTCGCCAAAAGAATGCAAAAGTATGTCTAGGCTGTTTAAAATAAATTAAAGAAGTAAAGTTGATTTAAAGTTTCTAACCATACCATATTTATACTTTTGTCGCGTTTAAAATGTTCAAAATGATCTGTAAACAGTAAAAATAATGGATAATAAAAAGATACAATTATTTTATTTTATCATTGAATAAATGATGTTTCTATTGTTAGATGAAATATAACTTTTCAAGTATTTTATTATAGTCTTATGATTAATTGAACACAAAAATAAAAGTATGTAAAAACTTTATCAATATTTTAAAAATCTCTGAAACAACGTTCCTAACTCGATCACAAGTTAAAGTACAAACATTTAGACCAATCACACATTTAATTATATTATTAAAATAAAGATTGATCAAACCAATATAAAGAAAAACATCCCCAAACTCACAAATACAAAAACAAAACGGTCCCCACCACCTTACCCCTCAACCAACCACCGACCGCGCCACCCCAACTGCCTCAAACCACTACGACCCCTAAAATACCCCCCTTTTCTAGGTCAAGGTGGACTTCATAGCGCTCCTCAAGGAGAAGGCGGTGGACCGCCACGCGCGATACCCGGAGGTCAAGAAGAAGATTGACAGCGACGCCCGGTATAAGGCGGTGGAGAGCAGCTCCGTTAGAGAAGACTACTTCAGGGAGTATTGCAAGCTGGTGAAGGAAGAGAGGAAGAAAGAGAAAGATGGGAAGGAGAAGGGTAAGTGGATAAGATCGTTATAGCACAGAATAATAATAAGTACTACGTACAGAAGTTTTACTTCGCGAAGGTATTTAAAAAAATGTATGCTCAATGTCATTAACAATATGGTGTAATTTAGCCTGTCACAAGAGTCAAGCACCATTTTGTTGACAAACGCCAGTGATCGGCATTGCGCCGAAGCTATAGGGCTGACTTCGGTAAAATGATGTGACGTGAGGTACCAAACTGCGGAAAATGGCGGAAGAAATACATGAATCATCATGAATAATATTAACTACTTATTTACCTCTCAGTGTCTTGAGGCAACTTAAAAAAGTACATTCTGTGGTTTTATTATTATTTAGGCAGTTAAATACTGCACAGTATTTAGTACACCATTTTCTTCCATCAACACAAGAATACGCGTGCGTGAGTCAATGTTCGCTCGTATGTGAGGCCTTGTCGAATCGTATCCTGTAGGTAGGCCATCGTGCGTGTTTTGTTTTCGATGTAAACTCGCGGAGATGAACAGACCTGGTTATAGTCTCAGAACTCACGGCGCGATTTTCACCCGCGCCCGCGGCGGTTGTGGAATTGCGGTTTTATTTCAAAACTCACGCGAGCGGTTAAGCGCTAGATTCTTATCGATGATTTTAGACGTCAAAATGTATGGGTTTATCGATAAAAAGTCGATATAATGGCCCGATAAACGCTTATACCGGCGTGCATCCTAGGCCTACAGGGCCGTATTTAACCTGTTTGGGGCCCTGAGTATTAACACTATAGTACACGCGCCCCTTTTTTTTACACCAGTACACGCGCGGCCTACCATTGTAAGCCAGCTTAAAATTTCACTTTCGGAAATGTTAGAATAAAGTTCTCTTTCTTTTCTAAAATAAAGGAATGTTTTCTTTGAGTAAAATAGTAAAATTTTCTATCTACAGTATTAAGAGTACATACTTTCCCTCCATGTAGCATTACAAAATTAATAATAGCTTAGATTAGAGGGAGGAACCCTGTGCAAATCGAATTCGCACTTGACAGTTTCAAAATTGTTTTACAATGAAGTATCACACTTAAAATCAAAATCAAAAATATTTTATTCAATTTAGACCACTAGTGGCACTTATGAACGTCAAAATATAGTCAATAAAGAAAGGTAGCCCTTATGGGGCACTTTACATGTCTCCTTGTCTTTTGGGCCCTACCAGAGCTATAGATCTGTGGATGATATTATTATGACCTTGACTCTGTGGAATAAATAAAACTTATTTTATTAAATATTAATTCCAGCGGAGCGAGCCGACCGCAGCAGCAAGAAAGAGAAGAAAGACAAGGACCGCGACAAGGACAAGGACAAGGAGCGAGCGAGCGACAAGGACGGCAAGAAAAAGAAGGAGAAGGCGGAGGTAAGTGATTCACACTAAATGAGGGCTATCGTTTTACCGCTCACCAGTTGGCGCCACTGTAGAGTAAGGTCCTGTCACTTGCTAGTAGCGAAGACAGTGGCGCCAGCTGGTGAGCGCGAAAGTGGTAGGAGGACTATCGCATTTGCACTCATCAAGATGGCGCCACTGTAGAGTAAGGTCCTGTCAATCGCCAGGGGTGCCAACTGTTAGGTAAAAAAACGATAGCCCTCATTACACCTTGATCGTGTACACATACAGTGCAATTTCCATTGGGGCATATCTTGCCGGTACAAATTCTTTTTTGCTATTTGGGATTCGACCAATTCGCTAATACGTCCTTTACCCCAAATACAATTTTAAATTTCGTGGTCATACATGGTGTGGTTTTGTAAAACAACACCCATCTTAGGGGTGGTAGTACACATGATGGTAATTACAAGAAGAATATAAATTAAATTTTTACTGTTACTTTAAAACCAAAAAACCTTGTTCAAACGTCTCCTAAAACTTTCGAGACGGCGCTTGTTACCGCCCGCACCACCCCCGCGTGCCCCGCTACACCACCGATTTTTTCAATGAAAATTTAAAATATTTCACTTTATATTTTTTTTGGCATCAATGTCGTGTCTACTACCACCTTAGATGGGCGTTGTTTTACAAAACCACACCCTGTATATTCTTCTTTCAGATCAGCTCTCTTTTACTGTACCGTATCTGTAGACAATATTACATCTATTGTAAATTCGATACCGTATTCTCTTCGCTCGGTTCCCAACGTACAATTGTTACTCTATTAACCATTCATTATGCTAAAACAAAATATAATTTGCGTCGGGTAAGTTAAAGAGGGTCCTTCTCCGAGTCTTTCAGTGACATGGCCCACGTTTAGCTTGACTTCACGACTTGGCCCGTGGACCAAGCTAAAAGTAGGCCAAGTCACTGGAAGACTCGTGCTCCTGTAGTGAAGACCAAATGCCCTGATAATGATAATAATCTTCTACGGGTGATCCTATAATTTTGAAGTTTGACATAATAAGTATGTACAGTCACGGAATCAAAAGGTTCGTCAGTTTTCAAATTGATTCCTTCAACGAATCGCGAGCACATATTACCTTTTGAAACGATTTGATTACAGAATAATCTCGAGTTAGAGAAAATAATCTTTAACTGTTCGCCAGTAAAGTTCAAAATTATTCAGATCAAAGTTGTTTAACTTGTCAAGAAGATTATTATGATTGATAAACTAAAACCTTCTTGTTGGTTCAACCTGCCATTATCTATTAAATAAAAAAAAACTACATTTTGTAACATTGCACAGTGTGTTATGGGACTGTATAAACGGACATTCTCATTGATTTGATGAAACGTAGGTATAGAGCTCAGTAGTACCACGTAGTTTTCGCGGTATAAAAATTCAAAGTTACCTATTTTTTTACTTCAAAATTATGCAAAAATATTCTCAATCGTTAACTAATAACATTTAATTCAGAATTGTTATAATACTTCATAGAGCTCTTAAAACTACACGTAATAAGCTTATTAAGTGCTTCGTAAACGCATTCAGTTAATTAGGAAAAATGATTTTAGTGATTTTTGTTTTTATTTTTTTTCTCAATTATACCTTAATATATGCAAACATTTTTTATTGCAAGATATAGTCTGATATTTAATCTAATTGTATTAATAAAATCAGCTTTAAACTCCGTGATATATTTGAGGAAAATCAAATTGAAAATATGCGCCATATAGAATTGTAAATTTCCCATCACTTTTTAATAGCAATATTTCTTTTGGATGTTTAAATATCATCAGCTCGATTGTACCAAATTATTGTATTGACATTCGATTTACATTAGGTTTCAAATCGTTAATCGTTAATAGAAAAATAAACAAGCAAAACCTTATTCGTTAGCAAACGTCATATTTATTTAAATGTTAGCAACACTGTTTCTTGCAGTACCTAGTGCAAGCGAAAACCGACACTAAGGTGACGAACCTTTTCATTCCGCGACTGTACTTATATTGTGTCAATTAATTTAATATGTCTAATATCAATCTATCTCTAAAGTCCGGTCGCCGAGCAGATAGAATTTCGTCCAATAACTCCAAGCTACCTCGCACACTCACTGCGGCCGCCCGTCGCACAGTCGCGACAGCAATATAATTACGCGCGAGCGATAAGGGTGGGTAGCTTGGGGTCATTGGACGAAATTCTATCTCCTTGACGACCGGACTTTAGTAGGATAGATGGAGTATACATTTTGGTCTCAATGACAACAATAGCTTTCTACGCGACTTTACGAGTCGATTTCGAAAACGAATGTTACATTGTCTACAGGTATAAATATTTTAAAAATTGATAAATGTGTGCGTTTTTTAACTGAGTGAACCTGCTTCGGACTCAAAAAAGGCGTTGAAAACAAAATTTTGGTGTTTTATTCCATACCCTCTTGTTTTTAATGTTTGTTGCGGTGTTTAAGATCCCCGAGCGCAGAATCGATTCCATAAAGTTACTATTGGAGTCGTTATTATTGTTTGTACACTTTTTTTTTAATTTAAACATTTTTTCAAAATGCTAATAAATGTATTTAAAAATAGCATTTTAAATTCAATGCAGATTTAGTTTGGCAAATGAATTTACGGATTTTTTTTAATTTTCATAACTTTATTATTTTCCTCACATATTTTCTATACAAAAACTCAATGTAAATCGGCAGTAAAACAAAAATATAATGCAATAAGTTTTTTTCTCAATAGGGGTATAAAATCTTTGATTTTGCCAAACTAAATCAATTTTTATATTCGACCGGGGATCTAAGATCCGTATTACAAAACTATGTTCAAAACTAGATTCAATCTCGGTCACAGATTCTGTTCTGCTTTATTAGCAGGGCTGCTCCGAAACGTTTTCGTAGTTTCGGGTCTAACTGTCACCCTTGCTCATGCAGGCACCTCGCTTTGCCTGAGAGGCATGGCAACATTCGAAACATTGGATAACGTTTTTCGGAGTAAGCCCGCTGAATATCGAAATTCAAGCAATCGTCAAAACCCTCAATCAGTGCTTGAAATGGAATCTACTTTTGAGATCAGATCTGTAATACGCATCCAATTTTATTCGTTTTATTCGTCGTCGGTAACACCCTCGCGAGATTTGACGTGAACGTCTGCCGACTGTCATGATCTGCGGGGGCCACCCGGGGCCGGATCTAGGGCCGTCGGGGCCCCGGGGTCCAGGGGCCATGTTACCCGGGGGTCCAGGGGGCCACGTACCCGGGGGCCAGCGAGACAATGCTTTATAATGTGCAGTGTTGGTTTGCAGCTGAGTAGGAGGGAGCGGCGAGACGGCGTAAGCATTAATTTCACCTGCATCGGACAAACGCGCTGGGGTGGGGTGCTTTTGGGGGTGGGGGTGGGTTGAAAGTAGGTTTTTACTGAAAATAATAGAAAAATATATATATTGGAGTTGATTCAGAGATGTTTGTTTTTGTTGTTGTTGAATGAAAAAAGATATTACGTCAAAATACACTTTCTAGCTTCGGTCGTGCTTTCGCCAATGTCAAGTGGTAGTGTCGAAAAACAAAATATCTCAAATATACACGTCTTTTTTCGTTCAATAAAAAGAGAAACATAAGACATCCTGAATTAAATTGTTGATTCAAAGGCTGCATGAAAGCTGGTAGTGTCAAGAAATTTACATTCCTTTAATTTTTTTTAAATATTTCTGGGATACCGTAATTTTCGACTCGCAGTTTTAGGTAACTAGATGTTAGAATTTTTTAGACTCAAGTACTAAACCCACACCTAGTATCAAAGTACGGGGGTACACTCCCCTCCCCTCAAAGCCCCGGTTAATGTCCCCGCAGACTATGACACGGCCTTAGGTTGTAGAACGTTTAGATACACCGACGCTGCCCGCTGACTCGGCATTCTGGGTAAGAAGACTGTAAAACAAAGATTATACGAACATTCCACTTTTGCAAATGTTCTTTTGCTAAACTGTTCAGTAGTAATTATTTACTAACATTATTAACTTTAAAGTGTTGGACGTTCTACAGCGAATTCTTATGCATGGTTGTTTGTAAGTTTATTGTTATGACGTCACGTTACAGTTGTTTAAACCTAAGGCCGAATTGTCCGATGCAGGTTCGCTTGTTTTATTATTTAATGTCAAGATGTTGGTATATCGGTGACGTTTTTGAAGTATTTGTTCAAGGATTTTTTTGTAGGTTTTAGAAACTTGTTGAGACTTCTTAGTTCTTTATCTCTGAAAGTTAGAAAAAGGAATACTATTTTGTCTCTTTTCATTACAGTGTTATTTTGATTTGAGGGAAAAAGACAACGCTGTTTAGGAAAATAGGATTGTTTTAATACTTTTTGTGTATTTCTCCACAGAATGACTAAGTCTTATTTAATGATTTTCTTTATTAGGAAAACATACAGCTTATATTATAACACAGGTAGCATACAAAAAGTAGGTCTTGCACAAGACTACTTATGTTTAGAGAAATGTAAGATTTGAGAATTTGTAAAGCTGTTCTAAATAAATAATTCAACTTTGCTGAATTAAAAACACATAGATTAATCTTCACATAAAATAATTACAAATTTTATTATAAAAGTATCGAAACGAAAAGTAAAAAATCCTTGAATAATTCACCGTTCAATAATATCACCGATATATCACCAACATCTTCACACAAACGCCATCTCACCGCCTCCCTCTCACACAGAAGCCGGACGCTACCGAAGAGGAGCGGAAACAGCCGACCCCGCCCCCCGACCAGTGGGCGGAGATTTTAGGCATTCCCGGGGAAGGCAAAGAAAAGGACAAAAAATCCAAAAAGACACAGGAACCCGCCTCAGAAACCTCCGAGTCCACCCAATCCAAATGCACCACACCAGAGAAAGAACTTTCACCAAAACAACTGAGATCCTCCAAAAAGGAACAACCCACCCCAGAGAAGAAATCGCCAATAAAATCTCCGCCCAAGAAACGGAGA